AGTCTTGGTCCAGGCTTGGTGTCGGGAGTGGTGCCAAATTCGGAGCCTACAACCTGAGCCTGGGCAGCGGAGAAGTCGGCTCGTTGTAGGAGGCGTGGGACAAACATGATGTCGGATGTTATCTTGTCAACGTCGAGACGAGCGGAGTGGGTTACGGATATGGGTCGAAGCGACTCGGAGTGTCGTCAAGACACGTGGGAGGCGTAACCACTGAAGCGCAGTGTCATCTAGCAGTGTTGAGTGGTTGGTGTCCGACCAGTAGTAGTTGGTGTTGATGTTTGTTGAAGCGAGCGTAGTGAGTAGGTAGGCAAGCCAGGTGGGTTTTGTATCCTCCGAGGCCTTAGAGCCGGACCCGTAAGCAGAACGATAAAAGAGCGACTTGAGCTGGACGTAACACGAGTAAAGAGAGTGTGTGATGGTGTGCGGCTCAGCTCACGATCTGTAAGACCAAAAACAGATGTGATGAGATGCACGGAGTATGTATGAAGTAGTCCCCGGGGCGATGCCGAGAGAGATGGGAGAACTTGAGCAAGCCACATCCGAGGACGGGCGCATGAATGATAGATTTACTGCTTCTGCGAACAATTGTGTGCAAGCCAGCTCGGCAAATGATGTCCAGGATAGCCCCAGGATGCCAGGATGTGCACGATGTTGCAGGATAAGTTTGCAAGTAGTGTAGTGGTAGGGGGAGTGTAGATCCCGCGGGATACCTCTAGTGTATTTCCACTTCTTCTTGGAGCGCAGGGGGCCCAGTGCGTAGGTACTGGTAGGTAGGTAAACCTGCATTTCAGCTCACGATCCCAGCCCATTCCCAGAGTCACTCATTGCGCCCGCCCAGCTATCCGAATGTAGGATGTAGTGAGTCTGCTATCTCGTAAGACATATTGGTGTCTGCTGCGCCAATCACCACCTTGACCAGCTTGTGCCTACTTGGCTGTTCGGTCATTGCCAGAAAAAAAAAAAAAAAAAAAAGTCAAGCGCGCTGTAGGTACCGTGAAAGTGTGGACGATGAAGGGACACTTGACCCATAAGAGCAGGTGGGGGCAACAGAGTCAGAGACATTTCTAGACAAGCAGGTCAACGGCCCGAACAGGAATATCCAAATACATACTGGGTGAAAGTAGTATAGTGCTAACAAGAGGAGAGCACTTGAGCCTGTGATTGCAGATCGTTTCATCTCTCTGCCCAAAGCTCCATCATCACATTTGCTGGTTCCCATGTGCCCAGTGGGCCCCCCTTTCGCCATGTCCAGAGCTCCAGAGCGCCAGAAAGCGTGAGCCCAAGGCACTGGCTTGTTGGTCGGCAGATGGCTCGCAGAGGGCAACGTGGGTTAGCACCTGTGAGCAACGCTTCTCCACATTGATGTCGAGCACTGTGGGGATGGTGTTGACATGGTTCCTAGGAGCGCCAAGTTGAAGACCCTGATGACGAAGAAATAAGACAGCAGAGAGACGGACTTTCTCCAGGGACAGGGCATAAGATGGCGCCGAGCAATAGCGAGAAGGGCGAAAGAGAGTCGTCGGTGCTGGGTCGGAGATGATGGATCAGCCAGACAGGGGAACATGATTCAAGACCAAACTGCGAGCCCAGAACCACTCACCACAGCAAACCCTCAGAGACACCCTCCTGGCACACACTCGACCAGAAAAAACCATGGTTGACTCGGCAAGTGTTTCTCCCTGGCTGGCGCGCTAAGCTTATTATGTCGACAGTGGATTTCCACAGCGCTCTTTGGCTCTGTCGATCGCCATTCCAGCGCGCCGGCGACTGCGCGGTCTTGGAGAGGCTCTTGAGCATCACGTTTCCTTTTTGAAAGAGGGACGTCGTAGGGATCGTGTCTTGGTTTTTTTGGAGAACCTTGATGGTTTTAGCGTTGCTGAAATAAAGGGTCCTCTGCTCATTCAACCACGAACAAGCGTTCTTGGCTGAATCCACGGGCTGTGTTCAGAGGGAGCTTTTGAGGGTGCTGATGTTGGGCGGCCTTGCCGGCGGCGGGGAGGGTTTTGCTGGTTAGGTCAAGGTGTCTTTGCTGAGTGACCTAGAGTCATTGAGGTTCTTGTGAGCCGGGTGAATGCGTGCAAGCCATGTGGTTTCCGATTCCATAGAGGAGGTGTGTGTGGTTTGGGAGGGAAAAGCACCGCCCGCACCTCAATCAGGGCAATTCGTTGTCGTTCGTCCGGAGTTTCAAGCTTATCACCTGCTGCCGCTATCAGCACCTGTCAAGCTTGCTCATTGGCTCCATTTGGGTTTGTTTGATATTCGTGGCCCGGATCTGTGGGACAGGGCAACAACAACCAACAGAGCTTGGCAACCAAGACCGAATGCTGCCAGGGATCACCATCGCACCTCATTTTTTGTAGGGACTAGGCCACTTGCCCGCTACACACCAAGGTACAGGGCACTTACCTTCTGGCTTCGGCGGCGTCGGCTCACCTTCAGGGATGTCGCGCGAGTTTGTTAGTGCACTCCTCCTTTCCTCCATACAATTTCCCCCTTGAGGTTGGATCCCTTCAGTCCTGTCCCTTCCTCACTCAACCCTCCCACTTGGCTCTTGCCCTCTGTCTCGCCAACGAACCGCCCGCGACGAGAAGCATCCGCCGACAGTCGAGAGGAAATCACTGACAACACACCTCTACCGGCATCTACAAACCTACTTGCTTAGTTAGGGCGGTGAACTACAAAGTAGTGATAACTATATCTCCCGTACGAAAAAATGATTGCTCTGCTGACCGCGATTCCCCTGATTATTGTAAGGTGGCAGTACCACGCTAGCAAATTATATGCCGACAGAGTTCGGTTTCTTCTTGCCGTCCGGGGCTCCATCTTGATCCAGCTTGCTGGCAAGATCGGGCCTAGATCGAGAGCGAGGTGGAATCCCTCATTTGCTTTGCGGGGGGTGACATCCATCTCCTTACGTCAGACGTTTATTCTTCTTTCTCTGCTGAAGATGCTAAAGCCCATGTCGTCGACCTTGCAATTTCGTGACCGGCTATGGGGTCTGGCTTTTTCGGCGGATCAACAACCATGACACCACCAAGCGAGCTTTCCCACCGCCTCACCTCGTGACTCTTCCATTGTTATCAGTCCAAATTTGGCCCCCCCTCTCCCCCCCCCCCCCCCCCAAAAAAAAGAACCGTTCGAGCCGTTGTAACTGCTAGTGTACTACGCTGTATGTTTCGTTTCTCTTCCCGTTTGATGCTTACTATTTATCTGCGGATGCAGGCGGGTGGACCCGTCCCCCCTCCCCCTCCCCCCTGTGACGTAAGGTATCCAAGTGTGAGACATGGCAATGCCCGTAACTGCAAATGTGATATGGCTTCTCTTTTTATCACACCAAACTCCATCAGAGAGAAAATGCCAAATGTTGCTCTCGTTCCTTGTTGTTTATCTCCAACCAACTTGGAGATCCCAACACATCTACGGATTTACTGGTTACCGAGCTGTGAATGATCTGCTCCATCGATGTGATACTGATCGCAAATCCCCACGTCCTGTACACTATGATCTACGCAGAGCACGGGGTATGTACGATATGAGGCGAATCACGATGCGCTCTCCGATGCAACACAAGGTGAAAGGATCAAAATGAGGTCCTTGCTGAAGCCCCGGATTCTCGTATTGCTCCAGGTCGGTAAATTTCGTTCCCTTTTCTCGCTTTCCCCAAACCTTTGTAACCCCGGCGACCCAGACAGACTGCTACGTACCATCGCATCCCGCAATTACAGCCTTCTGTTTCTCTCGCTTGCCAACCACTGCTACCTTGGTTTTATTCGCGGTTGGACATCACAGTTCCCTTCGTTGCATGTATGCGGGATGACCTTGCTAGCTGCCTCGAGGGTGCTATGTATAAGCCACATGGGGGGCCATTGCGCCCTGGCTTGGAAGGGTTACTCCGAACAAGCACCCCACGGTGGGCACTGCATATACTGTACAAGAAGTACGATGTTATCACAGAACAAAGTCCTCTATTTTCGGTTCTCTATCCTTGTTATCTAATTCTTCTTCGAATTCGCTATTTTCATCGCTCATTCGTAGTCCGACAATGTTCGGCGATGTTGCCGTCTTCCATCCAGCCACACAATCTTCGGTTGCACCTCGATCAAGAGGACCTACCTTGGTCGATTGTTCGTCCCTTACGACTTAACTACATATACCTATATCGATACAATCTCGGCTTGACTCAGCAGCTTCCAAGCTCACACTGCAAGGGAGAGTCGTAACCAAGGGGGCTGAGTGAACATGAGAAACCAATGTCCCTTCTTCCCATCCCTTCCCTTCTGGAGTTCATGGCCCCCACTTCCCATCTTCCCGTCCTACATATGTAAAGCAAAGGCGTGCACCGCACATATTTCAAAAATTCAAGCGCGCAAGCGCCGGATGGTTGGCTGCGCACCACAGCACTTGAGTCTAGTTGCACTAGCCTTTTTCCCAGACCCATCACCATTATCACGCCGCTAACTGGTGTTTGTAGAGAATCGAATCATGTTGTGTTACAGTCCCGTAGGGCTGTTTGCTTGATTGCTCGACCAGTGCAACGTGGTATATGTATGATGTACGTCAGGTTGTCCATAGCTACACTTCAGCGCGGCTATATCGCGGCTACGGCAAGCGTAGGTAGGACGAGCTGACGAGATATGCCACTCCGCTGTACGGGTCTATTGCATTTATAAATCCTACTGTGGATGACATCGTTTCTATTCCTAGATTGAACTATCACTAAACATCACCATTGCATGAAGTGGGCTGAGGAAGGCTTTGTTGTAACCCTCCTTTTGGGGGCCCAACGGCGATACCATCGATACCTTGGGTACTGGAGTTTGAAGTACCTACACAGTATTTCTAAGATACCGTTCCGTGAACCCTGGTGATTGCAACCTATGCATGACACCACAAAGACACCAACCGGTTCCTGAACGTCAAGTTTTCCCGGTATGCAGGGACACAAAAGACTTTTCCTGTCGCCTTTTACCTGTTCGGGCCTCTAGTCTTTGCTACTGTCATCATAGAGGCGCCAACCAACAATCGTTTCCACCACCAGGGCTCAACCCAAGCCTTGCCTTCCGCAGATGCTGAGGTGTGTACCGACACTGGGGGTTGTTCAGAGACTGGTGTGTGTTTAGGCACCGAGGTGTGTTGGACAGAGAGTTGCTGGGAGGATATGATCTCGTCCACGTACAGCTTTACCACTGGACGAAAATTCGTCAATGTTAGTGACAGTAGAAAAAATGGTATCTCTTTCATAGTGACCCTGGAGAAATAAAGGTCTAAGTTAAGTCAGCCTGAGGTATCATGATTTTGAATAGATCCTAAAGACTCACATATCACGATACCAATACCGACACATGACGCGGAAATGGTCGCGAATCCCACAACATAAATAAATAGCCTGCCAATCTTGGCTGTTGGATTGGGCCATTGAACCTTGCTTTGGACGGTATTGCCGTTGTTGTCTTTTTGTTAAGCACTGGCTTTGTTGGACTGGCTCCTGGGGCTGGCTTTGGACAATGCTATCTCTCGGCCCACAGGCAGCCTTGAGTAGATGATTTTGGTGGAGTGCCCATTGCCTTGACGTATTTCTCGATAGACTTCGTGCCTGCTTTCGAACGCCCTTTGCGTCGCAGACGTTGCCTTCCCTCGAGGGCCCTATTCCAAGTTTTTAGCTCGTTGAATCTGCGACTGCTCATGGTTGATTTGTACCCGTGTTTCTTCCGTTTTGGGCTATATGTGTCAGTTTTACTTGTAAACTGGAGTGTATTCTGTACCTTCCATATCTGGGTCAGCAGAAGGGTGTCGTTTGTGTTATGGTCAACTACCTTGTCCACGTGTATGCGGTTCTGGTTCTTGGTTGCGGCTACCTCACCAGGCGGCTTCCAAGCAAATAGCCAAGGGATAGAATCCCGAGGGACCTTCAATTTCATCATTGTCTCGCTCGTCTGGCTGTGCCAACTGAACCTCACTGCTCTGGGGTGGGTACAGTCATTGTTGGTGGTCTTGAATCGTGCCGACTTGTCGTGGCCGGCATAGTAGTTGATCGGAGTGTACTCTGTGATTGAATCGATGTTGAGCCCATAAACTTGCTCAAGTGGTTTGGGCTTCAGTGGAATTTCTAACAGTCGACCCGGAGCAAACCCAAATATGGCGGGAATCCAAGTATCCATCCATGACTTGTTCGGGGCTTGGTATGGCTTGATCATGGTAGGAGCTGATCCGTGTCGCTGGATTGATTCAGATGAGGCTCAACTGGTTGGATGGGGTCACAAATTGAAGTAATAGGAAAGGAGTTCGAGATCAAGCGTACTGTAGGTTCCTTTTTTATTAAAAATTGTGCGTTTCATGCCTGCAGATGATCAAAGAAAGCGGGGGGCTTGAGCGATAGAAGACGACAGTTGGCAAAGGAAGGTGCGATTTATCGGTCATTGACTCACTTACATTCAACTTACCCCCCCCCCCCCCCCCCCCCCTTTGCTTTTGCTTTCTCTTGTATTGACAGCTCACAAGTCACGACATCAGATGCTTAGCTGGTTTGGTCAAAGGCATCAACCGCCTTCCGGACGATTCGATCGCGGCAAGTGTAATAAACAGCGGGGGTGACTTGAAAGCTTCTGGATGCATTGCAGTCCACTGTTTCAAGAGGGTATCTCAATTAGTAACTTCTCGGCAACTCGAGCACCTTCTCGGAGATGTAGTTGAGAATCATCTCCCGGCTGACCGGAGCGATTCTGGGTACCAAACACTCCCTAAAGTATCGCTCAACATCGTACTCGACAGCGTATCCCATCCCGCCGTGGGTTAGCACGGCTCTTTCGCACGCCGCAAAGGCTGCCTCCGCCGCCAAATATTTGGCGCTGTTGCAAGCCACTCCGACTTCCTCTTGTCGAATCGAGCCATCAGTCTTGCTCGCATCGTATAACCTGGCGGCATGGTATGTCGCATGCTTCGCCGCCTCAAGCCTCATATACACATCCGCCAAAGGGTGAGCGATGCCTTGGTTTTGCCCAATCGGCCGCTGGAAAACCACGCGCTCTCGAGCATACCCAGCCGCCTTGCCCAGCGCCGCATATCCTAGTCCAAGTGCCTCGCCGGCGAGAAGACAACGTTCTGCGTTCATGCCGTGAAGAATGATCTTGAACCCTTGCCCTTCCTTTCCGATGAGAGATTCACCAGGGATCGGGTAGTTCTCGAAAAAGACTTCATTGGCATCAACAGCGCGTCCGCCCATCTTCTTGATCTTGCTCACTTTCAACCGGTGGTCTCCTCTGTTCAGATCGATGCAGAACAGAGACAGTCCCTCACTCGGCTTCTTCACTTCGTCAAGCGCCGTGGTTCGCGCCAGAAGCAGCATCTTGTCCGCCACCTGGGCACATGTTATCCAGATCTTTTGTCCCGATACCGAGTATGAACCATCATCTTGCTTCTTGGCGAGTGTCTCTAGGCGCAGCGTGTCAAGACCGGCGTTAGGCTCGGTTACCCCAAAGCAGACGCGGAGCTTTCCTGCGATGATGTTCGGAATGGTCTGTTCAAGTTGTTCCGGCGTTCCGAACTTTGCGAGCGGTTGGGTGGCGTAGACGTTGGCATGAATGGACTGCGCGCCCGCCATACCTGCCCCTGACTCGGCAATTGTCTGCATCATCATGGTCGCTTCGGAAATACCAAGTCCGGCTCCTCCGAGCGCCTCTGGTAGGGCAATACCGAGCCATCCGTCTTGCGCGAGAGCAGCGTGGAACTCGTTGGGATACTCCTCCATCTGGTCATGTTGCTGCCAATATGTATTTGGGAAATTGGAGCATATTTTCGTCACAGCATCTCGTACCATGAGCTGGGATTCTGTAAACCCAGCCATGGCCATCAATTGGCGACGTGCTGAAGTCGAAAAGGCATTGTGTCCACTCGCTGTCGATCGTGGCGTTATGCGCGGGAGCCAGCGGGCGGAGCGCGCCGCACTTTTGATGAAGGTCGGCATGGTTGAGGCTCAAACAAAGGTTCAAAAAGCATGAAACGAGAACGAGGCGAACGGTTTCAGCCAATCCACCGCTTCTTCTTTGGAGCTACCAATACAAGGCAGGCGTGAGTCGATAACTAGTGCGATGGAGCCATATCAGGTGATCACAACCAAGGATTGCAACGTTGGAGCTGGAGGGATGATTCAGGGGCACAAGGGGTAATGACAGCCGGTTTCCTACCCCAAGAAACGCAAAATGCGGGGTAAACCTTCTCCATCACAGCAGGCGGTGATTGCGTCGTGGTGCGTTGAGCTTGATCAACGGCATCGTTTCAAAGTGATACTTATCTGGCCAAATTCCCAAGTCATTTTCTCCTGTGAACAGCAATTTGTCCAGAAATCATTGTGTCACTCAGATAACCAATTCCACATAATCAACCACCTCCTCTACCACCTATTCCAACATATTTTGTGCAAACATGACCGTTCTACGATCAGCTCTGGGCCGGCAAACCCGGCCACCACTCAATCTCCGCGCTATGTCCAGGCCGAGGTCTCTCAGCACCAGCAGCATCACCGCCAGCGAAGCAGCAAGTCAGATGCTACACACTTTCCAGGACAAGACCATTGTCCGAAAACAGACTCTAGACGGCAATCAGCTACAAAAGTTGTGCCTCACGCTGGGCCGAAGGTATGGCCTAGGCCCCCAGCTGGACCTCACGCTCGGCTGTCCCCCAGCGGGAACACCAGTGCCGCCGGGATACCATCTGGTATACTTTACGCCATCAGAACTGGAGGAGGATCTTGGCGCCGATGGCACAGACCGCACGTTCAACGCACCCGCGCCCTTTACGAGGCGCATGTGGGCAGGAGGACAGATGCGGTGGAACGACGGTACCGAGCTGAGGGTTGGGGAGCAGGTTGAGGAACACACAAAGCTCCTGAGTGCCGTGGCGAAGAAGAGTCGTGACGGCAGTGAGATGGTTCTGGTGGAGGTGAACAAAGAGTTCTGGGGTGAAAGAGGCTTGGCGCTGGTCGACCAAAGGTGAGTTCGAGTTTGTCTAGACACACAAACAAAAAGCCATAAGAGACAAAGGCGAGAAGAAGAAAAAGTGTTGTTTATTCTTTTCTCATTATAATCACACAGATCTTGGATATTCCGGAAAGAAATCGACCTTTCGGCAATATCATCATCATCATCCACATCCTCAATGCCTCCGATTCCGCCACCGCGAGGAGGCAAGTCAGAAGTGCGAGACGTTATAATGGGTGACAACGCCCTGCCGGACCGGGTCTTCAAGTGGTCGCCCGCCGCCCTGTTCCGGTTCTCGGCGCTCACTTTCAACGCGCACATGATTCACTACAACGAGAGCTGGACGAGGGCCGTCGAGAACCATCCGGGCGTGGTTGTGCATGGGCCGCTGAACCTGATCAACATGCTGGATTACTGGCGAGACGTGCACCGGGTGGAGGGGTCCGTCTTGGAGGAGATCTCGTATAGGGCTACGGCGCCGATATACGCGGGGGAGGAGTATGCCATGTCGAGCTCCAAGATGAACACGGATTATGGCATATTTGAGGTGCTGGTGAAGAAGGGGGATCAGGTTTGCATGACGGGACATATCAGCGAGGCCTCGAGCTGGAGTTATTAGATATGATGATGATGAGCGTAATTATCACAGTTAATAATGCGTGGTCCGGTTGCGGACGTTTGCCTGCAACTGGCTTTCCAGCGTTGCTCGCAGTTGATGGAGAGGATCAGAGGGAGTGGGTTGGTTGATTAGGTTAACTGACGGTTTACTACCTACCTACCTACCGCGACCCACGGTTAGTTACTGCACACCAGAATCCATACGCCCCATTGCACCTTCCAGGCCCCTCCGTGAATTGACACTAACGACCCGTTACGTCACATGTTCGTTCTTTCTTTCACCGTCAGGATCTTTGTTTGTCCACAACCAAATAGCAGCCAAAAAGTCTGGAAACGCTTTGGATGATGTAAACAAACACCAAAAAACATCGTCAAAATCTGCAAAAAAAGAGATTCAAGCGACGCGAGCAGGATTTGAACCTGCGCCTCCGAAGAGATTTGATAGGTTTCGAATGGGTAGTTCGAGTCAAACACCTTAGGCCACTCGGTCATCGCGCCTTGGATGTCATTATGAAAACAGCGTCGTTTTTTGCAGCCTATAGAGATGCTACCACATGGGCCCGCGCGTGGCAGCGGCCAGCCCACTTGCCAACTCACAATGTTACGACACCAAATCAAGACGCATCATTGAGGTTGCTGAGAGCTGATTCGTCTTCAAATAATGTGGATCTGGCGGCGCTTCTATATCCAGTTGCTTCGTTGCTTGGGGTTTTCCGGTGGGCTTGTAAACACCGAAAGCGGCAGCGTGGCCTTGAAAGATTTGGGGGAAGCGAACAGAGACAGATGCAGCAGTTATGAAAGCTGGCTATGAGGTTGCACGAGCAGAATCCCGCGGATAATGATCTACAAAAGGAACTGAATATCTAGCGATAAATACGCTTGTGATTGGTTTTTGTGTATGGACAAATCTCCCACACACACACTGCGTCTTTCCAGACTCTATATGCAACCCGCACCTAACCTTCTATTCAACCATCGCAACCGGCAGGGTATCACATATATCTCTCCCCTGTCATCGCGCAAGGAGACGCTGTTCCCACGAACCAACCCTTTTACCTCCCACCTTTCTGCGTCTTACTCCTCAGTTCAACAGCACTATACCACGCCGCGCCCGCCAATGCAATCACCATACCCAAACCATTCAAGAATCCCACCTTGACTCCAAACAACACAATACCCAGCAAGATGGTCAAACACTGCTTGATATTTCCGCACACCGTCATCGTCACCGCGCCCGCCACCTTGTTCGTCGAAAACGAGCTATAATTCAGACAAAACGCCAACAGCCCATTGCCCGCCAGCGTGAGGATCAACGCCCCCGACGGGCCCTCGGGGCTCTGCTCCCTAAACCCAGCCAGCTCACCGCTAGCAATAGCGCAGACCAGCGCCTGCGCGCAAGCTAGGGGACTCATGCGCAGCAGCGTTTCGAGGGGCGACAAAGCTAACGCGCCGGTCATGATCCGATTGGTGGCGACGGTCTTGACGACGGCCAGGATGACGCCCAGGAAAGTGAGGAGGAAACCCGCGGCGGTGAAGTAGTAATCGCCATAAGTGGCGAGACCGACGCCCAGGATGAGCGGGATCAGAGAGAGGTAGGTGTCCCGCGGGTAGGAGCGGCCGTAGCGGAAGCGGTAGATGAGCACGGCGAAAAAGGGACAGGTCGATCGCATGATCTGGTGGAAGGGGATGGAGACCATGGCGAGAGAGACGTTGGAGGTGGCGATGTTGACGGTGAAGAGGATGGAGAAGAGGAAGAGGACGACGTTTTGCTGGAGGCTGAGCTTCGTGAGGGTAAATCGGCCTTGGAGAAGGAGGATGTAGCAGCCTATAGACGCCGAGCCGGCGTGGAGGGCCGTGAGAAGCCATGGGTAGGAGAACTGGTGATGGTGGTTAGCTTGGTGTTGTACACACAGGTGAAAGATCAATTGGGGGTCTGATATAAGACAAAACCAGGAGGCTGCTCGGCACTCACCTTGCCCAAGATGAGCTTGTTGTAAATCGTTAATGAAATGTTACATAGAAAGTAGACGGCCAAGTATAGTAGCTTTGTCGTGCCTGAGACTTCTTGTTCTGTTCTGACCGTGGGATTGGAAGGCTGTGGGTTGAGAGGAACCTGGGCCTCCAGATCCTCGTCCTTGTCCTTGAAAGTTGGGCTGCTAGACATGGCTGATGTTGATACTAACCAGCTCGGTACTGACTGATTTTGTTTGGTGGTGAGAATATGGTAAGAGTAATGAAACCCGGAAGGCTCCGTGTCAGACAGCACTGGAGTTACAGGCTCTGAGACGGATGCTAGCTCTTTGGGGTGTTTTGGTGTCGGAGTAATGATTCAAGGTGATGATGTAATGTGAATGGAGCAGAGTATGAGTGAATGTGGGATGGTACGAAAACGACAAGACCAATCCAACACAGGGTGTAGGGCTGAAACAACAGTGGTAGTATAGTAAGGTACCCAATGCGAACCTGGTGGCTCGATGAGTGGCGTAGGTGAAGAAAGAGATCAAGACAACAGGAAAACCCCCGTGTGTGTTGTTGTTGTTGTTGTTGTTGCTGCTGCAGGATGAACCGTCCTCACATCAGACGGCTGTCCAAAGTCCGAAGCCCACGCAAGGAACACGGCGGTTTTCCCCACGATACGCTAGCAAATTGGTGGCCGTCAAGGTTGGAAAGGCTCGGAGTTTACAACGAAGGATTCAAAGGGTCTGAGCAGAATCGTTAATGAAAGGAGAAGGAATAGGAAAGGCGCTGGGTCCCGCCGGAAACAGGAGGTCAGCAGCAAAAACGAAGAAAGGCTCCAAGATCCATGGAATAAATTGTGCTTATTTTGTTGGAGGAGGTTTCGGGAACGAGCACTACCTACCAAGCAGAAAAGCTGCGGGGATTACGTGGAAGAGCGGCTGTTCCGGGTTCACTGAGCGCTTGCTGTGGCCGTTTGATTTGGACGGCCAAGACCATGCTGTCTAGGCTTGTTACGAGGAGAGGCTTGGCTAGCCATGGCAGACATCATGGGCCATCCCATCAGAATTCCGGTGAGTGGACCAACACTCCAAGGCTTAGGTGAGTGGAGGTCCGCTGTATATCGAACGCTATTGCACCGCAGTAATCATAATTGTTTGATTCCGGCAACCATGTAGCCAGGCTCATTGAGGAATTCGGTTGGAGCATGTCCCCTGTTTCTTCCCTTGTTTCCTCCCCTGTTTCCCGCTCGCGTGCTGATCATCCATTTCGAGGACGGTTCAACCTCCCCCGACAGAGAAGAAGTGGTGAGAGGTGGTCTATTCTGCCTCCAGAGGTGTGATATTAGCACCAGAGAGCACAATGGTCTCTGAATACCTGTACAAGACCCTGCAGAATGCCCTCACGACCTCCTGCTCTGCACCCTACTGTAATGCATGAACTGCCACTGCTCAAAATGCTTGGGTTGGACGACCATGTGGGTAAGGGGTTCGCCAGCAGCCGTTGTGCTGGACCCTTTCTCTGTACACAGCTACACTACACTAGGGTACCTACTTACTGCGTCAGCATACACCTACATGGAACTGCCTTAGTAAACGGTAATAGTCCAACTTAGCCTCCGCTCGGTAGCGTAACTCTGTGGGTTGCCATACAAGAAGGGCCTCCCATCATTTCATATGTAGAAAGGCCCGTGTCGGTGTTTGGCCACACCTTTTCCAACAAAATCCCCAATTTTACCACCCAACGAGAAGACTGTACACCTCACAAAAGTTTCAGGTCCATGGAAAAGGTTGGGGTCGTGTTTGTTGGTGGCTTGTGCAGCCAAGGGTTTGGTAATACACACAGCATGCCGCTGACCCGCTTATAGGCACGGTGACGCGTAACCCTCACTTACCACACCTTCCCGAGCCTCCTTCCCCCCCAATTGCACAAGAAGCTGCAGCGGGGTGAGCGGCTACATATTGCTACCACTTGCCGTTTCAATTCCAGATGAACCGCGCAATTGCAGCACCCAGCGAAGCAGCGTTTCATCCGCGCGGAAAGAAAGTCCGTCAACATTTGTTTGATCTCGGATTGAGCACCTCCAGCCACCGAGCTCGCTCTAAGTGCTGAATGGCTGCTGGTGCCAGCTGCCTGCAGAGGGGTGGGTGGTTTTGGGCATGGGTCCTGGAGCTCGTGTTTAGGGGCTGGGCGGCAGTTTCTGGGTATGTGTGGGGAAATCTCCATTGGACATACATATCGAACTTCAGGTCAGTCAACTTGAACAGCGATGAGCGAGATGAAACAAGTCTTGTCATTCTCGATGACGGTTCTCGAGGCTTGGTCATCAAAGAACTTGGGTGTTTCATGGCAAGACGAACTATTCGATCCGTTTTGTTCGGCACGATCATTAAAATAGATGATGTAAATGAAGTCCATCCCAATTCCGATCATGCTCCTAGACAGGGGTGATTGCTCAAGATCTCGAATCCAGAAATTTGGAAGACCGAGCCGCCATTCGAGAAGGGCAATGGACCCTTAATGCGAATTTCGATACCAGGTCACCCATGTTTCTTGTTTGATCACATTTCCCCAGGCCAAGGCCATTGATGCGACAGCTCTCCTGATGGCAAACTGTTTTGCGTTGCTTTCTCGGCTTTCGTCAGGTTGAGGACCAGAAATCGAAGCTGATCAAGACTAAACATTATCCAGAATCTATCAGACTCACTTGGGTACCGTTAAGAACAAACGAGTTACAAATCATGCCGTGAGGTTGCCAGGCAATTGGGATCAGCCCAAGCGCAAACCTGGGTCCAATATGTGTGTGGACATCCAACGACCGCTTCCTGTATAGCAAAAATCCCAGAGATGCAAGATTAGATGCAACATGGACTACTATACGAAAAACAAGACATCGATGTCGTCTCTGCTTGGTGCGGCATCTTGTCTTTAGTGACCACCCACGCGTACCTCCTCCTTGGCCTTCCGCTCCTGCTCCTCCTTCTCCTTCTTTTTCTTAGCCTCTCTCTCTTTTTTCTCCCTCTCCTTGCGCTCCTTCTCTTCCTTGTCCTTCTTTTCCTGTTCCTTCTTTTTCTTTTCCTCCTCGATCGCCGACGCGGCTCTTTCCTTGGTCAACTTCTTGTTTTGCTCGGACCAGAACTTGTCGACTTCAACCTTCAGGACGTCCTTGGTCGTCTTGTTGGCCCATTCTGGAAGCTCCTGCTCGGCACGTGTGACCCAGGGCCCCATCCAGCTGTCGCGCACGTACGAGGTTCCCGCAAAGTGCACAATCATGTCACCCTGCATCACCTTCCACTTCTGAACCTTGCCGCCGTGACCGTCGTTGAACACCTCGTTTGTTCCCTTGTCAAACTGCTCCTCCACCATGGGCTTGCCGAAGAGCCAGGTGCCGTTTTTGAAGAAAGCATTGTTAACGGGCAGCGAGTTGAACCAGCGGATCGGCACGTCAACCCAATGATCCCGGCCAGCCATGGGCGTCTGCGCTAGAGGAGAGGCCTTGTCGGTAAGAAGGAACTGGAAGGCGCTTTGGTCGCGGAATCGGTCGGTCTTCATGCGCTCCGAGTTGTAGATGGGGTAGGCGAGTACGGCCGACAGGAAGGAGACAGACCATGGGCTCACGCGGAAGGCAAAGACACCCGAGTTGAGGCCGTCCCAGTTGGATGAGATGACGAGGTCGACGTTCGAGAGACCCTTGGCATTCTCAGGTGGGAGGAAGAGTTCTAAAGGGGTGTAAGGGTTCATGACTACCGTGTCGGCGTCGAACCAGCTATCATTTGACGAGGAGCATCAGTTTCTGTCCATATACCGCTGTCGATCAGACAAGATGACGGCTCCCATAGAAGGATACTTACAAAACCCACTTCAACCTCTCCTCCTCGGGCTTCTCTAGTTCTGCGACTATGATTGAGAGCAGATAGGCGGGTTTGGTCCATGCGCCTTGGGGCCGGCCGGCGCGGTCGTTCTCAATCAAGCTGCTGACCGCCTGATTCTGGGCGATGTAGTGATAGTAGCCATGTTCGCGGTTATGGCGCTCATGCGTCTGCATTGCGCGATGGATGACATCAACGTCGAGGGCGTTAGCCGCGACGGTGACCTTGGCCACACGAGAGGTCTTTTTCACCGGTGGTTTCTCATGCTCGGCGGGTTGGTTCGTAGCTGGCGGAGGCGAATTGACCGTGGGAGCATCGGGGCCGGAACCGGCGGGAACGGAGTGGTCGACATTCTGGGCATCATTGTTGATGGTTTTTGGTTGTTGGGGCTCAGACTTGGGGGCACCGTGGAGGGGCACCTCGGAGCTTATAGCACCGCTGGTGAAGCTGGAGTTGTGGAAAGTGATGAGCCAGAGCCAGAGACAGCCAAGCACGGCTAGGATGCTGATAACCCTCAGGGGCCGTTGGGCCTGGAAATTGCTTAGAATCATGGCGGAAGAATGGCACAGGCGCTGACCCGACTCTTCATCATGTTGCGACGAGAAGAGTCTCAAGGGACAGGTCAAGGACAAGAGACGGCGGATTCGGATCCGGAAAGGAGGAGCTACGGCTACAGAAAAAGATGGAGAATTCCGAGAAAGGCGGTTGTTGAAGAAGTCATTGTACATCCCTATCCCTGGTCAACCTTGTCCGTCCTAGAGCAAGCTGAGATCGTCATTTCCACTTGGCTCTCCATATCAAGGGTCTTGGCATGAGTGGATTTAAGGTGGGTTGCTTCATGGCCAAGCGGTGGTGAAGCGGGAGGTTGCTTGGGTCTACACTGGAGGTTGTAGCTGTCAGAAGCTCAGCTGTCATGCTATCCTGACGATGGCCAAGGAGGACAACGCTTATTCAAGCCCCCGGACAGTGGACAGCAACGGGATGACGACCTCTGTTATTCGAGCAGAGGTTACGTGCAGGCTGGACAAGTGGAATTAGTAGTGTAGCTGCGCCGTGAACCCTTGCGCCAACTTGGCTTGTGCATCCTTATATGATTTCTCACTTTCTATTTACCTCCTTCAGTTCTCGCTGTCGCCAAGATATGTCGCCAAGTGCACCCACTGCCCAGTGAGAAACAGGTAAACAGGCAGAAACATGCAATCCTTCATGTCTGGAATGCCGCATTGCCGACGGGGCCGTCCTGTTGTTTGTTCGTTCACATTCTGTTGACGAAGGAAGTCCCACGCTGTACAGCTGACGGCGGCTCTTGGTCAATCCACCTGGCAGGGACGTATTTATACTGGCACAGGAACATAGAGGTACCTTGCCCTTTGGGTAGTGTATGTGCGGTAGCAAGCCCCAAAATACATGGACTGTAGCCGTTGCCGTGAGTAGAATGTTTACTTCAGTTTCCTACCAACGTCATTCCAAAGAACGATGATTTAGAAAAGCGAAACCAACAACAAAGTGCAGAATTAAAGGTATCGACCTAGGCCCGTCATCGGCTGTCCCTTCTTTTCAGCGGTACTGACAGGGAACTTACAGCAGATGCGGGATGCCGGCATGGGCGCAGTGGGGGACGCGCGTTAAGATAAGCGGAGTGGGGTTCTTGGCATTGTTGGCGCTGCCGCCTGTCATCGATACCTACCTAATTGACGACTTTCATCAGTTTCCCTTGGCCAACGCTTATTGCATACCTCCAAGTAGCATGGCTCCTTTATGATGCTGCTGAGGCTCTGGTATCGGATGCCAGCACTCTTGATCTTGATACTGGACGTCGGAAAGGACCACAGTGCGCGATCGGGTTTCCTCTCCTTACAGCCCAGGCGTATGTATGTGCCTCGCAACAATGCGAGTGGAGGTCTCAACAACCCCAGAATCTGGATTGACAAGCCCAGTACATACAGGAAGGCTAGGAGCAACCCTCAAACAAAAAGTCTCTATCTGACACCGCGGCAGATCCGAGCCGACGGAGCAAATTCCAATCGGCTGCCATCATAGGGCCGTCTTGGCCATGTCAAGTTCCCATCGTCAACCCGATCTTGAGGCCGTAGGAGAGTCTGTCATGACCGGCGCATGCTTCCCAAAATACCGTTGACGGAAAACCATTCCAGCGGAACCCTCCTCTTTATCGGGTCCCAAAGCATTTGAGTAGGCCGCAGTTGGCAGGTGTTGGTAAACGACAGGCGCCCGATTTGGAGGTGTGGAACGACACGACACGCCAAAGGCCGATTGACCCAGACTCAGCGGATAGAACCCAGAGCCACACGATGCTTCCAGGGCAGAGGTCTGCGTTGAGCCTTTGCAACTCTGCGAAAGTCATCTATTGTGGCCGATTAATTTGCACCCATTCCCTTTGGGGCTTCCTAGAAGAAGAAGTGGGTAGAGGAGGCGACTGAACTTCGGCTTTTTGGATATACACCAGGCTTTTGTACGAGGAGCTGGATATCTTACTCGAGTTGGACATAGCCTATCTCGCTCGACGGGCAATGAGAGTTCGATCTAAGAGCCCCACGCTGTCATTGGATATAAAGAGTACTTTTCAACGTGGTTGCCGTATCGATGGCTTTGTCTGCCCACGGAGGCTGGTTGTCACTCAACATATCCACTGTTGTCCCTGTATCGGCCCTCACTGGTCAGAATTCTATTCGTCGTCAATTGTGTAAAGTGAAGATCATGGCAAGCTTTGGGCTCGATAAAGACAAGCCCGTAGACTGATAATTCTTGTATCGTAGGATGACAGATCTCAACTGGTTGATACATGATCGAGGGCATTGCGAATCTGCACACTTGTTTGGTACAAATATGGTATGAAGTTTTCAATCAAACCATCATCTAAGCGCTAGTGGTTTAGTGGTAAAATCCATCGTTGCCATCGATGGGCCCCGCGTTCGATTCGCGGCTGGCGCAATTTGTTTTTTTCTTTTATCGTTTTTTTTAACCCTCTCTTTTGCTGCTCTCGCCCTAGCACATCGATTTCCTTCCGATTCTTGTGTTTGTTTTAACGAAGTTCGCCTTCTTTGTGTGAACAGCCTTCCCCTCAAAGTATCTCAAAATTGATTTTATCGGACAAAGGAGCTGGTTGATCATACACTTCAGAATCGTTCAAACCAACGCGTTAAAGCATTCTTCAGCTCCATTGATTCCCGCGCTTATTTTCGCCAGCTTTTCATACAAACTCAACACTTCGTTATGACCGAGTTTCTCATCAGCCACGGCGCGTTGATACAGCAGCTTTGTTGATGCAACACTGCAGCTATCGCGATCGACCTTGAGATCAGTTTCGGGCGGCTACGGACCAACAAACTTCATGATGACGAGATGATCACTCAGCATACACTGGAATACTCAAGTACCGGTCTTCACGTATGACTGCCTATCACCTCCTCACCCCATCTCATAACGAGGGCAGCTAGACTAAACGTCTCTCGAACAATCGTGGAAATCCACATTCGGAACTTTATTCTCAACCGTCGACACGCAACAGTTGTCGAACGGAACTTTTCAGAACTTCCCTCTTGGCCGGATCCAAAGAGAACCACCGCAGTATTGAGTTCTAAGCGCGCCTTGGACAACGCACCTCACCGCACCAAGTGACGGAGTACGGATACCACCACGAGCCAGTGCTATGAACAGAGAAGAAGAACGACGACGACGAAAACGGAAGAAGAGAAAGAAGACATGCCCCACTCAACATTAGAAGAGCCCAAGTCGGCCTTCTGCAGGAGGTGCAAGGAAATAAGACCTGTCGGCCACACAGAACACGGCAGGCGCGGCGCGAGCGGAGAAGGGGGACTGGAGAGTGTCACGGCTACTGCTCCTAGGGGTACTTTTCGACCTCCACGTATGATCAGGCAGAATGCGACTGTTGGTCAGTCGGATTGAGCATACGTACGTGTCTGCCACGTGGGGAAGCACCAGAATCATGAATGGGGATGGGAACTCGATATCACCTGTTGGTGATTCGTTTTGGTTGGCTACTATCAGAGTGATTTGGTTGGATTAATATGGGAGTCTTTGGAGACTGAAATCCAGTCAGAGCTCCGAATGTGAGAACAGGGACGGTCTTCGGTCGAGAACTACTAGAGGATAGTATGCAGGTCTATCTATGACTTGGGTTCTTGGTCACATCTGCTGCTGGATGGGATGGGATTGGGTCTGCCACAGTATGTATACACACACCACAAGGTCATGATCCGGAATTCTGTCTGAGTGGTTTATCAAAGCTGACATACAGCGTGCCATATCGTGTAGTCGAAAAGAAGAAACACCAAGACGATCACATCTCACTTCTTCTTCAATCAGTGAATAAGCCAGTTCATGTTTATGACATGTTAATACAGGGTACAGATCCTGACACTCCTCCAACACCATATCGTACAACCTCACGACTTCCTTGCATTAACATGCAACCTCTTCAATGATGCCTCTTAGGTTTGTTCTCCTTAGCAACTGTGTCCGCCGGCTCCGGCAGGTCGTACTCCGCGCCCTCCGGCGCAGGACCAATTACATGTCTGATACCCCTCTCGATAGGCGGAGGCTTATCGGCGACAATCTCGCGGACCTTGTGCTCGACGGTCGGGGCATGCGGGTCGGTGGCGCCTACACCCTCGAGCCCGGAGTGCTCCTTCTTGCGCTTACCGGGATGCATGCCGTGCAGCTCCCTGCTCGTCTGACCCTGCATCGGCTGGCTCCATGTGGCCCGGTTATAGAGGTCCTGGGTGGTGGGACCACGGTAGGCGTCGAGCGGATCAGTGCGTGAAGACGGGTCGACGTCCGGATTGAGAGCCTGGCCGGGGATCTCGTGAATTGGGTTTGGGAGATAAGTGTGCTCCTCCGGCGCGGTGCCGGGTGGGAAGGTCTTTGCGTGGAACTCGGGCGCGCGTTCGTTGCCTACATGGTGGCCGGGTTGGTGCTGATGGGTGGCGTGGGTTAGGCATCCTGAACCGGAAGAAAGATGTGTGTTTGGACTGACACTTACGCCAGAGTTGGTCATGGGCTTAGAAGGAGGGACCTTGGCGTGGAACTGGCCCTGGTTGGTAACGGAATCGGGGTTGGCAGACATGGTGAACGATTTCTTTTTGACTTGGTACTTGTGGATTTGGGTGGTGAGGCTGGGTTGTGGTGGGTTTACAAGTGTTGATTGAATTATTTTTATTGTTGTTGACGTTTTCTCGGTGGACGAGCACAGAGGTCCACGTGAGCTCAAATAGGTTCTAGACGTTGATGTAGCCCGTTGTGGTGTAAAAGGATAGCTGTAGTCATGATGTCAACCTTACGGTCGTTGACATCATCCAAGTCGTGTATGGTTGTCTGGAGCGGTCTAGATGAATGCCCCAGTCTTGTATCCTCCTACTCCGTACAACAGCTGGACTTCGTGATACGTGGAATCTCGACTCGCAGGTACGGAAAGTCAAATCGGCGAAGACAGGAGACATCGCCATGTCTTGGCACGGTTCAGTTGGTAGGTGTTGAAGAGCATCTAATCAAGCCATGCCCGGTAGAGCCACGCTGTCGGCCGATATCCGGTTGCCACGACGTGCCTCCGGTTTCCCCAATTTACCCAGATCAGTATATACATGTACTTCAACTACTTGTGTCATGACTATGCTGACATAGATGCCTTACATCTCTTTAACACTTGCTGTCATCGTCTCGTATTCGGATAGCAGTTGCTACGACCATTTCAGATGTGCAACCGCTGTCAAGGTTGGACACTTGACTTTTGACGGTCAAAACTGCTGACATAATGCACAGATTCGAGAGCAGTTATATAGTGAAACAATGTAACTCCTGTCGCTAGGTATGATCCAAGCATATATCTAAGACGCTGAAAGTCATGGTAGGTTGGTGTTGATGGTGATGTTGTTGAGGTGTCGCCGCATGCAGTCGAAATAACGGTCTTGGATCGGTGGGGTGCAATAGCCCGTTCTACGGGAGGTCCAGCGCTAGGGAAGGAGCACGGGAGGCGGTTCGCACATGCGATGCACTGTGGGGTTCCTGCATTCCGCCACCTCAGCCGCTGTCTTGCAAATGTGGGTGCACATGCCCTGCTGGGCCTTCGTCCAAGTTCGCGCTCGGGCTGCGCCGTTGAACATTGGGCGGCATTCCATCGACAAGGTGGCTTTATTTGAATTCTGTTGTAAACAACGCAATATCGTCTCCTAAGCTGTTGATCGTCTGTTCTGGACCATTGCTGCGCGGGTTGTGGACCGCGAGAAGGCTTCAATCCATGCGGTTTCCTTTCCTGCTCCTTCTTTGCAGCGGCCACCTGCCATGATGTGATGGCGGGGCACTTTTTTGCAGAGGGCCGGGCGTCGGGCGGTCAGAAGCCCTCCAGGGGCCCGACCTCATCCATCATCAAGCAATACCGGCAGGGGAAACTATCTTAAAGGTAGAGGTAATGTCGGATCCTTCCATCTTACCTGTCTGTACCTACCTTACGTATGTACATACCTACTGCGTAGATAGAGGTAGGTAAGGTATCATATGTTCTCAATACACCCCGCTGTCCGGCATTCGAAGCTTTCCATCCGGTTGCCTTTATCCGCCGCCCCCAACCTCTGTACTACCTATGTACACTACCATTAACAAACAGGATGGCTGGCGTCGCGTTCTGTGTCTGTCCGCAAGGTAATATTTTTAGCTTGTGCTAGTCTAGTTAGCTTCAGCCAACCACCGAGTGATGATTGAGCTGATCTTCCTCTACGACCAACTGAACCTCAGCTTCCCGAACGTAACCACAAAAGACACCCCCAATTCGTAGTTGCTGGCGCATTGTAGCCACTTCCAGGTTTTGACTGTGCCCCCCACTGTTTGAGGACAATGCCCTATTGGACGTCGTAAGGACCAGGTCTTGACACTTCCACTGGTCAATGCTTATCACAATGGCACCTTTGGTCAATTCAATGCCTACGTCGGTCTCAGGGACCCATACGCAGTATATACAATCACGAGTGAGTGGCCTGACTCCCAAGGCAAAGTTGTTTCTGACATTTCTCTCTGAAACCCTTAATGTCGAGGCTTTACGGTCCTTGGGCGCCGAACGAGAAGGATTTTCTTCGATTTTCCCTCCACCTTCCTTTCTTGGAAGGGGGGCGTGTCTTTCGGTTGCAGCGAGACAGCCTATGTACTGAACACCTTGTGTGGGCTGATTGCCTGTTGAACAGGGTGTTGAAGTCAAAGATGTGAACTTTGGCGGCATGATGCAAAGTTTTGTTCGTTACATCTTTCTTATTGGAGATAAGTACGTGACGGACTGTTGTCCGATTGTTGGGATGGTGATTTGTATATAGTAATGGCTGTGGACAAACTATGGCCTTGTCAAAGAAAAGAAAATGCATTGCCAAGAAGAAGGTCTGTGCATCCGTCGAACGCCAAGGTAAAGAAAGATGCTCACCAAGTAACATGTGCATTACCAAGGAGAAAAGACATTACCAAGGAAAAAAAAAGATGCATTACCAGGGAAAAGGTGCATTGTCTGGAAGCAGATGTATTACTACGTACATATCGTGTAAGAAAGGGACTCGGTATCCAGGTCCAGACAATGTCCGTGCACCTCCAAGGTCGCGAGTCTCAAAAGGTCTGGTTCGAATACTCCGTCCTCTTCGCAGCTCAGCATTCATAAAATGCGTCTTTTTGGGTGTGATACTGGATCAAAATCTGTGCATGTAGGAATCTTTGCAGACACTTCTTCCCGTCCCTGGTGATGAGTGTGGAAATGGAAAGAGAGATTGAGCACTGTGCATGAGCGCTCTAACCAGGAGCAGTTCTCTGGACCTACTAGTATGCAGTAGATATCGGCCCCCTTGAGAGAAGAAAGAAGAAAATTAGCCTCGAAAAAAACTAGGAAGGGGCTTTCTTTCCTGCTCTCTCTCTGTCCCTCTTTTTTTTTTTATTTTTTTTATTTCTCCCTCAGTGAATTTCAACCTGTGTTGAAGGTTAGCAATATCATTTGTATCTTGCGGGTGTAAATGTTTACGATTGAAACGCATTCCTCTACCCATGTTCCATGGACCCCTTACATCTCAGGACCACCATGCTAGAAGTACCTCTAGTGTAAAAGCATATTGAGACACGCCTCTCCCCGCCCTCCACGCAAGTCCCCGCCGTCAGCGCTGGCTGAATCCCGGTCGCTGGGAACCGCTGGAACTACTGGGGCGGGGTGACAGGCTCCACCAGGTAACCACCAACCACCTACCACCCGCTTCTCCGCGCATCCACACTCCAGCCCCAGTGCAGCCATCCAGCCATCAGGTCCAGCCAGGGGCATCACATCCCGGTGCAGGACGACAGTCCACTGATCCCGTCCACCATCCCACCCTCCTCCAGCTGCACTCTCGGGTGTGCCAGCCCTTTTTGGTCCAATGCGATGATGGCAATGCGACGGGACGCCAACCGCCGCAAAAACACACATTCTAGGATTCAGCCGAATGAGTGTCGGGCAGGCTCTGCCTTGGCCGGCCACTGTTAGGGAACCGAGAAAAATCACCTCGCGTCACACACTTGACGACAGCCCGTGCCAGACCTCATCCTTTGCCGACACACGTCCGCTCAGGACCGCGTAGCCTTTCGATTTTGATATCTTCGAGCATTTACTTCGAAGAGCCTTCTCTTGGAGCGATTCTAAAACTACCAGGCACCGGCCGTTGATTGCGGGGCTTGTCTACGGATGCCCCAATACTACACTACACTCACTTCCACTTTTATCGGCGTTCCGAGACAAAGCGTCATTGTTTTGTTTTGTCGCCTGGCATCCGGTGTGGACGGTCCCACGAGTCTGCGACACTACAACACCGGGAACACCTCGCTTGTAATACCCTTCTGTTTTCCCCTCTGGTATGCTGCCTCCTGTCCGATTCCTTGCGGCTGTTGCTCGTTTGGTCTGTCCTCATGCTAAGTTATTCAATGTACACAACAGTTGAACATCGTCTTTTGTTTGCTTGGATTTCCAAGACATATCTAGTTCCAGTCGCCGCGGGAATCGACGTTCTTCTTTCCCCTCATCTGCATCTGCGGCCGTTTGGACCCGAGCGCTCATGACCTACGCTGCAAGTCGACCACAGAACCCCTAATTGATGATCTCGTCTGAACTTGTTGCTACACGTACACTCCTGCGCCGTCCCATCCACTCGCATCTTGTCCTCGTATCCGAGAATGGCACAGTCAAGATATTCATTTGACGACGACCAAATGGCGGAACGAGAACCTCTTGGTTCGTCAACATCTCCATACCATTCACGAAACCAGTACTATCCGCCCTCGCGTTCCCAGCAACAGTACCAAAATTCATTCCGTCCGCCGTCCGCATCCCGACCCGGAGCCCATCCGGATTCTGCCTTTGAGCGACTTCGTATGGAGAGACGCAAGAGTCAAGGACAATCATCAGAAAGGAGTAATGGTGATGGCAACTTCAGAGCATACATACCAGCTGGTACGGCATCCAACAGCTACGAGCCACAAGACATAGTGTCGCCTATATCCCCTCCCCAGCCGCCTCCGCATCGCGCCGAGGGAAGATCGTGGGGCAATGATCAGGTTAGCTACTCGGAGTCACAACGACCTAGGGCCCTCAGCACCATCACTCCTGGAGCGGACGACTTCAGCAATGCTGCTGCCGGTGGTGTGACGGGGATTGCGCTGACTGTCGCTGACCAGACTGCGAGGGAGAGCGGACTCAACGCACTTGACGGCCCCGCTTACCCACAAGAATACGACCAACAACCTACTCCAGGGCAATTTCAAAGCCAACAGAACCCCGGGCCCAATGCGCGCGACGCATCGAACTATTTCCAGGCGCAGATGCCTTATGCCAGTCCGTATGCACAAAACAGCGGGCCCCCTAGCCTACAAAGCAGTTCGCAGGCATTAAATGCTGCGCAATATGCGCCGGGGGCCGGTACACCTGGGCAGACAAGTCCCTCCAGAAGCCCACATCAAGGTTCTGGTACGACAGGCATCTACACAGACGATCCCTTTCTGAGCTATGGCCGTCCTCAGCCACCAGGTCTGGGGGTTGTCGATCCGCTCGCTGCTCTTGATGATGATGACGATGACGGGCTCAATTACCACCGCAAGTCGAAAAGGAACAGCATCCTCAGCCTCGGTAATGGGAGCAACAAGAGCGCTGGAGCCGTTGCTGGCACCGCTGCGGCTGGCGGCGTCATTGGCGGTCTAGCCAGCCGTAATGAGAGCGGTAATGTCTCTGGCTATACTCCGATCAAAAACAATGTCCAGATGACCGACACTATACATGCGGCCAGTCCATATAAATCAGGTTTCGTAGCTGAAAAGCCTGGGTGGAACTCTACCGGCAAGTCGAGGAGTAGGGGCAAGAAGTGGAGGCTAGCGGCCATCCTGACGCTTGGACTTCTTGTTGCTGCAGCCATTGTCCTTGGAATAGTATTCGGTGTTGTGCTCAAGCGCGGCGGCGAAGACAAGAAACAGGGGGATTCCGCTGCTGATGACATGCAAAATAATGGGGATCTCGACATCAACTCCTCCGAGATCCAGGCGCTCATGAATAACCCCGGCCTACACAAAGTCTTTCCGGGTATAGATTATACGCCACTCAGTTCCCAGTACCCGGATTGCATCCACAATCCTCCTTCGCAAAACAACATCACTCGTGATGTCGCGGTTCTGTCACAGATGACCAACACAATTCGGCTTTACGGCACCGATTGTAACCAAACCGAGATGGTCATCCACGCGCTGAAGCAGCTGAAGCTCGACAACACGATCAAGATTTGGCTGGGCGTCTGGCAGGATGGCAACACGACGACTAATGATCGTCAGCTCTCCCAGATGTGGACAATCCTCGACACTTACGGCGAGAAATGGTTCAAGGGTCTTATTGTAGCTAACGAAATTTTGTTCCGCAAGGAAATGACTCTCGCCAGTCTGAGTACACTACTCTCCGACGTCCGTACGAACCTTACTTCTAGGGGCATGAAGCTACCAGTGGCAACCAGCGATCTTGGCGACAACTGGGATGAATCACTGGCCAAAGTGAGCGATTACATCATGGCGAACATTCACCCTTTTTTCGGCGGCGTCAACGCCAAGGATGCAGCAGCATGGACCACGACTTTCTGGAAAGACCATGCTGGCACCTTTATGAAATCAGACAAGTCTAAAAACATCATTAGCGAGACTGGTTGGCCGTCACAGGGCGGATCGGACTGCTACCCGGATACCAAAAGTACCAACTGCCCTGGTCGTGCGGTGGCTGGCATTACCGAGTTGAACCAGTTCATGAGCGATTGGGTATGCCAGGCACTCGCCAACGGAACTGAGTATTTCTGGTTCGAGGCCTTTGACGAGCCATGGAAGATCCGGTTCAACACCAAGGACCAGCAATGGGAGGATCACTGGGGTCTCATGGACGTGGACAGGAATCTCAAGAAGGGAATCAAGATTCCGGACTGTGGTGGCAAGACGGTTGCCTGAGCAACAAGACGAGAATTTCTGGCGCCAATGCTGCGCATTGCGACCGTGGCCTTGTCTCTGACGTGGTATGGGACATCAACAAGTTAATATTGGTTTGACCATCATGGTACAACGGGTGTGCTGCTGCTTCGAGGACCGTAAAGCTAGAAAGGCTTTGGCATGTATATGATGGAATGGTGACGAAGGGTAGGATCGATAGATCTTGCGATGCGGACATGGAAAAGGATTCACGAATTTCTGTTTCACAAGCGTTAATATGGCGTTCGTACAGCAATACGAAGGATATTGTGTTCATTATATGGCCTGATATCTCTTGGCTTGGTCGATGGAGGTCCTTCGGGGAGCCTCTGTTTTGTTTTCTCGTTTCTTTTTCCATACTCGATCGCGATATATTTCATGGATATGGGTGACAAGATATTGCTGCTAGGGCTTGCTTTGCTGGACTTGAATGGTTAGGACTGCCTTGGATCGCGAGGCCTTGCATTACCATTAGCCCTCTATGCCAGCTGCTCTATCATTCTTCGACATAGATCATACAGCTCTTTGCTCTTCAATTCTTCTTGCCGCCTGGGTGGGCAATCTCTCATGAATATGTTGGCGTATTAGTCACCACCAGCGCATGAGACGTTGAGTTTCACATATAACATACACAAATCCACCTACACTTTAACGTTGGACAACCAGTCGGTCGGTAGGCTTCTCCAGATCGGTCCGTCCGAGTAAAAGCGCCCCCCCCCCCCCCCCCCCCCCACCACCACCATCTTCTTCCTCCCGCCTACCACTTAGGCAAAGGGAGTATTGTTGAGAAAATATGACATGTCAAGTGTTTGAGGAAACATGGCACAAAACAGTTGAGGCCTCCGACGGCCAGTCCTTCCAGTTCACCGTAACGGGTTATCAGCCTCCGAAGAGATTGGAAGTCGGGAAGAAACATTGAAGTATCCCAATTCCCGGTTGTCATTCCACGTGTCACCAAAGATTTGCGGCGGCAAGATAAAGAGTACCTAGTGCTTGTTTGTGGTAATTGGTGGGTAGCAAGGTATGTAGCCGTGACCGTCAGTGATCTTGACAGCTACCTACCTACTGTCATCATGGCCGTGAGAGATCGTGATCATGACCGTAATCCGTCAATGTAACCGTAATCGTGATATCACATTTCAGGGTTTGAACAGAAGCCATTGACATTGTCAGACAGAGACCCACTCGACGGACCGATCTTACTGCATCAGCCCGAAGGTAGCTGAAATAGAGAGAGAGAGAGAGAGAGAGAGAGAGAGAGAGAGAGAGAGAGAGAGAGAATCTGGAGCAATAGTCGCGATGATAGTTGTAGTTGAAGTAGTGGTCAAACCTAGTAGTAGATGTCTAGATAGATGAACGTAGGTGATCTGTCAGGTAACACAGCCATAAGAAAGCCCAAATACTCATATGGGCGACGACACTAACGTCCTGTGAAGAGCTGTCAATCAGATCTGGGATATTTTAACAGTTCCATTGTCCTGTACCTACAACTCTGCCGGACTATGTTTTCTTAGTAAAATGTGAATATGGGAGATGACATAGAAGTTGTGATCGTATGTCTTGGCGGCTTCACTTATGGGCCATTGTACTTTCAATCAAGATCTGAATTGGATGTAATGTGAAACCAATGGTTCTTTATCATAGGAGGCGAGTACACTGCTAATAGACCGTTATCGTCGTGTATAGGTTCATATATATGAATATATATATATACATATTACATGCTACTCTGTAATATGCCTACCCCATCAATTCCACCTTGGCAATGAACGGTAATGGGTTTGAAAATAATGATTCAACCTGATATGCAACTGGGTAATTTGCCAATTAATTCCGTGGCGTTTTGAAGAGTCACCCAGGATGTTGGATGTTGAGTGTCCCTGTTGGTGTTGGGTTTGGGGAGTGAACTATGAATGTGAACCAGAGTCAACAGGCGAGCTGGGAAATTGTTCACTTTCATGACTGCTTTCCTCTCTTCTATAATCGACTCTATTAGATCGATTCTTTACGCCTTCTTCCCGGCTTGTCACATGGCTCGCTGGCTAGCTAGGCCTCGTTTTGTCAATCAATTTCTCTCACATTCTGGATGCTCTTTTCAGCTTCATCTCTCCTGTGTTCTTTGTTAGCTCTATTACTCTTTCATCGATCCGTGGTCTTCGTCTTCGTTCGGCCCCCTTTTGCTTTGTATGCAAGAGTTTCTTCTCGGTCAGGCAATGGTGTCTCTGTATCTGACAACGCAATAGACACTGCGGCGTTGTGCGCCTCAATCAAGGCATGGATGGTAAATAGCTTGACAAACCTTCTGCCAAGGATATGAGGTATGATGCAGAAAAGACACCATAGGGCGACAATATCTGAAACGCTTACTCTTTTCAACGTACATCACTTTCTCGTCTCATGACTTCTTACGGGAATAGTTCAGGCTCATAAGACAGAAACGGTCGAAGTCGGTCCAGCGTCCGAATTTGAGTTTCTTGCCTGGAAGTTGGCATCAACTGGATGTTGACCGTAAGCCAAGAAGATCAAATCAGACTTTTCTCTTTCTTGTCTGTTTCAGAAAGAGCTCCAACTCCTGTCGGGTCACGGAAGTGATGGCAAATTGTTTTATAAGCGCAAGTATGTGAATGGACAAGATACTGCCCGTCAGCAAGAGACAGGACCTCGAAAAATTCGGCAGATATTATCCGATCTAACCGGTCCTTTTCTCATCATTTTGCAAAACATCTCAAGCCACTGGCTCGGTGTTGGTTTCATTTGTCTCTCCTCGTTCTAAAATCTGACGTAGTCATCACGGATTCAAGCCAACACTTCAATGTCAAACCATGAGATGACGAAAGAGTAGCAACACCTTGTTGGCCCAAGCCATGTTCTCTCACTCCGCCCAACGAATTCTTAATTTTTTTTTCACCACCGACGCTCTAGCCGCCTACGTCTCATACAAGCGGACGAGCTGGGTCATGCCTGCCTGCAATGCTGCGGTGCTGCAGCGTGTCAACCCTTTGCAGGAACTCGCAGGATACATTGCGCGTACGCATCTCGAATATAGGTGCCCAAGCAGAATGGATAGAAGTCTCCTGTGGAACGTCAATATGCCTCCTCAGCCCAAAGGTAGAATACTCACATGTTGTGTAACTTGAGCACATGTAAGAACGGCTTATGGTCTGTTACACAATACCAGACTGACATGCTGTTTGGGTACTAAGTAAGCGGGTGGGTAGGTCCTCTATTTGACCATTCCGACATTCTCTCATAATAGGAAAGGAGAAAAGGCGTGTAGTTTCTCCGAGACCCAAACGGAAACAGAATTCTCTATGTCTGCTTGCGGTCTGGACCCGGAGTTTACAAAGTGTAACTCAACCGTATCTCGACGAAGCCCGAATCCGTCGTTGCATCTTTGGTTAGGTCGATGTACATGAAATAGAGAGCACACTTCAAACCGATAACAAAGCGAGTGTGTCGAGTGATGGTTCTTTTGAGGGTTTCTGTGAGAATACTGGCTTGTCTACTTACGAGTACCGGTTGGGCCTGATTTGATATGCTCTGACTTGATATTCTGCGTCAGTGGCCTGGTATATTATGCTGCTTCGAATGGCCTTGAATCGACCAATCCAGGTAGCATATGAAGACGTGGGACAAGTAGATCAGCTGAGATCATGTCTGACGAGATCTTGTGTGTCGCAAATTGATTGCTTGATTCAGTACCCTGATGATCAGCTTCGGTACTAGTACAGTACCTTTGTAGATCTGTATGTATGTCATCCGGCAGTAGTTGGTTGTGACGACCGGCGACACCTGCGTGGCGTAAGATATTTTTGCCAATTGGGTCATGGTTTTCCCAACACGTCCTCTCTATTAGTCAGGAGTCAGGTCCGAGAGGGTGGTAATCCCCATGCAAGCACACGCATTGACGGGCCACAAAAGATCAAACCAACAACATAAACACAAGTTCAAGAAATGAGAGGTGTCATGGCTGGCAAGGCTGAGGCCAGGAGGAATTTTTGTAAGTATTGGACGCTGACGACATATGGATGCCTGTCAAATGTCGACGAGCGGTGGAATGACAGGTAAGGTTGTTTCGAGGTAATCATACCTACTGGGACTGAGGGTTATACCTGCGGTGAGTAATCCCCCGGGACCCCCGCGCGTAGTCCGTGGAGGAATGGTGAAAAAAGAAATTGCCGAAGGGCCAGAATCCCGTCAAGGTGAACTTGGCATCATAAGGCATGATGCGATCGAAGAGATATTGAAGCCACAACCGCCGGCAATGCTCTGGCCTCAGTGTGGAATGATCACCAGGCGTGATAAGATCAGGGATGTGATTGGAGACCGACTGGGGAATCGAGTGATGTAGCAGCTATGCGGGCGGGGGTAGTGGGTGGCATGCATGGTGGTACTGATTTGACCTTCCCCTGGGAACGCTTTATTTGCTAATAAGCCCAGTATTGCGACCTAGCATCTTGCCCGGGTGTGCCAATCTGGCACCTACCGAGCCAACAACGAATCTTGATGGAGTCTAGGGTAGGAGCGGCGTTGGACCCCCCAGTGATATGGATAATGGCTGGCCGTATGGGTCAGGGTTGATATGCATTCGTTGTTGCAGTTTGTTGTCCTTTTGTGAAGGTGTCAACTGAGCAGGCGCTGGCAAGGGCTCTCGATATTGGTGTAGGATGGTCTCGTAGACTAAGGCGCTGGCAGATATAACAACGGCTGGGTGGAGACTCCAGACGTCACCTGAATATCCCGCCGATGTCATTTAGATTCCATATCCCTTCATCCCAGAACTCCCAGGGTTTCCTCATAGCTCTCTCCCAGTTCGGACATACTATTGACTTCGTCAACAAATTTCAGCATATAAGTTGATGTGACTCTGTAGCCGGCTTTTTGGGGGGTCAGATCCAAACGCTGGTGAGTGTGCACAGTCCGTAGGGTGTCTAAGGTCCGTATCCTTTACACAATTTGGGACCCTTTGCTAACGGTTGAGAAGGACCGCGCCCGATTCATCGGAGGACACCTGTCGTGGTTTCCTTTTTGGTCCAAAGCCATTCCAGTTGAGGGTTGAGAGGTAACAGAGCCTCCTGATTTGGCACTATAACTTTATTTGCCAAGGTCACGGCTAACGCATCCGAGTCTAGAATCGGGGCATCTTCCAATTCAACATAAACGTGAGACCCAGCTGTTCAGCCAAGAAGCGCTGTGCATCCAGCCCGTGACACCTCCCTAAGGGACGACACAACATCGGACTACTTGAACTTCCACTAAGATTGGACTGCTAGGTCCGCGAGGAAGATAAATTGGATGGTGCCCTCGCCGTGTTCAGCAAACGAATCGACCACCATCAGCAAAGAGCCTTGACTAAGGAGCTCGACCTCCCTCCTCCCCGTCCTGGGATCTTCAATACCTCCTTGCGTTCTTTCGGTCAACTTGCAGAGGCCACTTCCCCCACCGCCAACATGGCTCCGTACATACAGGAGCCGGACATGCTGTCCAGCTCTGGGTACTGGGTTGTAGATAGGAGGATTATGATTGCAATACCCGATTCCAGCGACCACGTGAATCCACAAAGGCTTGCTATTGAATCACCGAAGCATGTCATCAAACACTCGCTGATGGAGGCAAATCCACCGCTTGATACAGTCCATGACCTATCATTTGGGGTGGAACTAAAGTTCTTGCTCCCTCTCCTTGTCCAGGGTGAAGAAGATCCGCAACCCGAAGACCACAGAGAGGTCAGCATGACACAGCTGAAAGACAGCGAAGCCACTCGGCGGGAACAGATTTATGAATCCATCGCCAAATCCATAAGCCAAGCGGGGGAGAAGTCGACAACCATCTCTCGGATCACAAAAGATGCAAGCCACGAGCGGGCATTCTGGAAGTCGCACTGGATCGTGAAGAAAGCCAACTCGGCCGAACCCACACCAGAGCAAGCCAATCTAGAGGGCTATGTGTGGCTGTCTGTCGAAGTAAGCTCGCCATCACTGCCAGCTAAAGATGCCGAGACCAAGCCTCGGATCGAGGCAGTATTGCGCTCGCTCTTTTCGGGCCACCGTCTGGTCGCAAACTACACTTGCGAAGTGCACGTCCACATCGGACGCACAGACGGACAGTCCTTCAGTCTGGCCACTTTGAAAAGACTAGGGACGCTGCTGTGGATGGGCGAAGAGCAGATGCGAAGTATCAGAAATCCAAGGTCGCCCAACTATCACAATGTGTATACGTGGGGATTCGAGACACGAAAATACAGTCGCCTGGCTTCGAGGGCTCAAGAACTCGTACTCCGAGAGCATGGGTCGGCGACTTGCCAAGACGGGGTGCTGGTCGAAGATTGGCAGGTGGCCGAAGTGCTCAAGACCCATCCGGAAATGCAGACCAAGGACCGAAAGGCCATCGAGGAGCTGTGGAAAGCAGGATCGCATATGGAGCTGGGACGGTTGTTGTCGGGAGAAAAGAAGCCCTATCGACGACTCGGTTTCAACTTTAGCGCCTTCGGTCTGGAGGACGAACGGGCGCGGAATAATCCTCGGACCATGGAGTTCCGCATGATGGAAGGAACAACCAACATCAATTATATACTGGGCTGGCTGTCCATCTGCAATGCCTTGGCTGAGGTGGCGGTCTTGAGGTCGGACGGTCGGTACCTCATGGTGTTGGATCGGTTGATAGGACATCGACACGCCCGGTCATGGTCAGTTGGAGCTCAGCGAGAGACCGATTCGGAGACGCAGGGGCAGAGATGCGGTCGGGAGTTTCGAGAGATCATGGATGACTTGGGTGTTCCACGAGACCTCTATCGAGATCTAGAAGCGAAGGTGACACTAGAAAACGAAGTCTGATTAGCGCGGAGTCGGAGTTCGTACAGACAAAAGCGAATGAGTGGAAGCATAAGTACCTCTACTTTGTTAGCATCCATGGGCAGGGCTCGAACGGAAAGGAATCGGTTGCATTGGACGCGTAGAGGTAGACGGGAGAGGCCATTGAATGAGGGCGGAGGACCGCGAAAGAAGGAGAACAGGAGCCGAGGGTGAGGAAGGTTTCCATCTGAAGAGCACTGCAATCTTTCAGTTATGTCAAAGAAGCAAAAGGAAGTCGTACGGTGGAAGGAAGCAGATCGTGCCAGATAGACTGCAGTGGTCGAAAGAGGAAGGAGGTCTTGGGGGGGTGGGGGGTTAAAGCGTACAATATAAGACTGGTATGTTTGTTAGTTTGGTTCTTCGGCCATAGGTTGAACAGGGGAGATATAGAGCTCTTATTGGCTTCCTTAGAGTTTTCGTTTGGAGCGACCAACAATGACCAGGATGTAATACGCCACAAAAGCCTCTGTTTATACCTCCATCCGTCTCCTTAAAGGCCTTCAAGCTTGAAAAATACAAAAGAAAGAGTCCCCTTTCAGTGCCTATCTGTTTGAAAATCGAATACTTCCTCACTTTCCGGGGCTCTCAAGTGGAGATGGGCGTTTTTTTGTACCAAACTAACAAACATACCAGGGTTAGATTGTACTATAGAGTTACGAGTTTTCTTTTCATACTAGTAGCATCGACCAGGCAGGCACTCATCGGAGCGGGAGCATACGGTACGGAAATACAGTGCATTCGTCCTTTCGAATTTTTTTTACCTTGCCGCCGAGAAGTATGGTATACAAGGAAAGCAGCCGGTTCGTTGTGTTCGCGACTTGCCGTTGTTGTTGACACCGTCGGAATGCAGTACTTCAAGCAATGGTGCGTGCACTCTGAGAGTACGGTCGCCAATTGCGGGGGAACAAATGGATATGTAGAGGTAATATCCAATCAGCGCGGCGGACGGGGAAGTGGGTCATGCCTTAACGCACGTTCCTCTGTCCCTCAAGGTCCTCAACTGACCGTCAAATCACATTCTAGTTGTTACACTAGTAGTGTACAGTGAAGAGAAGCAACGAAGCAGTTCGTTCTCCAGCGTATTGACACCGTGCTGGCAGCCATCATGACATCATTCCTCTGTTTACCCCCATTGACAGTTCAATGAAAGGACCTTCAATGTCTCTTAAAAAATCACTGGCTCCCACCTGCAGTCGTATCTCGTCGCGTGATCTAGCTTCCTTCCCTCAACCTTCTTCGATTTACTGAAAACTTTCTGCTGGTCAACCCACCCCTGTCAACATGGCGCCCAGTACAAGAGAGGCTAAGGCGAAGGAGAAGGCTCCTGATGCGGCACCTCCTGCCTCAGAGGCTGAGCCCGGCTCCAAACACAAGGCCGACCCTGATTCGGAAGACGCTAGCGAATCGCCCAAGGCCAAGCGGAACAAAACGGAGATCGCGGATGGCCATTCGAAGAAGAAAGAAACTGGGGAGACCAAGAGTGCTGCCGGTGTCGAAGCCGAGAAGACCGAGTGTCACGGAGAGGAGAAGGATGACCGAGACAAAAAGAGTGCTGTTGAGCCACACGGTCGAGACGCTCCCGAAGCTGTGCCGTCCAGTATTCTCGAGAAGGGTATCATCTACTTTTTCTTCCGTGGCCGTGTCGGCATTGATGAGCCTTCTGCCGTAAATGAGATTGCGAGGAGCTACATCATCCTCCGCCCTATCGAGAGGGATGCCAAGCTTGGAAGCGGTCCTATTGGTGATGCTGGCAACAGCCGCTTGTGCGCCATCCCGAAGAAGGTGCTCCCCCAGTCTGGCAAGGACAGGTGGATCGCGTTCGTTGAGAAGACTAGCGCCTCGTTTCAGCAGCTTAAGGATGAATTTTTGGCGTCCAATGACTATGAGACCAAGACAGCGGGTACCAGACACTCCCCCGCCGCAACGCCTGTGGCCGAGGGCGTGTATGCCATCACCAGCACTGGATCCAATAGCCACCTCGCGTACATTCTCACTGTGCCCGAGGAGCTCGGGGAGGTCCAGAAGGAGCTTGGGTTGAAACAGAAAGGCAGCTTCATAATCAGTACCAGAAATCCACAGTATCCTGCCCCAGCCAACGCGCGTTTACCAAAGGGTCCAGAGTATCCTGAGGAGTGAGTTCACCATGCCATATCACGAACCCAAGGCTACCAGCAAAAACCTAATCACCATTTCTGTACAGGGTCCTCAAAGAGTTCCGGTCTCGTCGATGGATGCCCACACAGCCCAAGCACCTCGACGTAGTCAATACTCAGTTCCTTCTCATTGGCGAATCGTCCGGCGTCGAAAAGGCTCTGGAGCCGCAAAAGGCCGATGAGAAAGAAAACAAGGAAGAACCAGCCGAGGAGTTGGAGAAGCTTGAGGAGGAGGATTTACAGAGGCTTAAGGGTCTAAGCGATGATGACTCTGGTCGGGTCTTTGCGGACTTGGAGGTCAACGCCAATGACTATCCCAAACTACAGACCACGTTCTGAGATTCCAAGTGGAACAGCTTGTCGACGAGCTTTTGAGGCCTTCCACCCCGCTTGTGTCGGCATACCGACGCCACATCTGTCGATGGGCTTTACCAACCTACACTACCCAGTAAGGAGATCAGCCACTTGAACTAATGCCTGCCCCTATCCGTTTCCGCGCCAACCGAGGTGTGTATCTGCCAACACCAACAAAAAAGCCCCTGGCTCGATCCCCCTGTGGTCTGTAGTACAGCTTCCTATGGTAGACGGGCGCCGACCTTCATATGCCTCTCACAATACCTTGGATGTTCTTTCAGCCTCCGAGGGGGGGGGGGGGGGGGGGGGTCCTCGATATGAGTTCATGTAAAATGTTCATATGTGATTGAATTCAATCGCAGAGCTGGATGTACCCTGAACCAAAACATGGATGAAAGCAAGGTCTGCCTCAAAAGTCTGAAAGAAATACAAAAAGGGGAACCAGTCAAATCGCGCATCTCGTTTTTGACATTCATGGAAATCTCAACTTGTAAGCACGTTGAACAACAATCGATTTGTCAGCACACTTATGTTGCACTTGGTGTTGTGGTAGAACTTGGGTACATCTTGCAGATGCCGGCATGCATGATAACCACCGGTCAATCATCTACATAACACCTGGTGTGGACAACCCCAGCAGTCACCCAAGCCTCGACAAACAGAAGGCCCCAGAAGTAGATATAAATAAAAGGAAGAATCAAAGGAAAAGAAGCAAAACATACGGAGAGAAATTGAAGAACGAGTATTTATAAGTGATAAAAGCAAAAAGATAGAAATGAATGCCCAATAACAGGATTGAACTGTTGACCTTCGCATGGACTTGATATCAGAAGACTGATATTAGTACGACGCTCTAACCAGCTGAGCTAATCGGGCTCCGATTTAATGACTACTTGCTCCACTATTTCTATCTATATTCTGTTTCAATTCAACTTGCGAGTACATGATCTCTATAGCTGATTTCCACGATGATACGTTCTGAGCCGTGGCCAGTAATCACTTGTCTATAATCAGTTGACCTCCGGTAAATCGCTTGTAAGATTATCGCTGACAAATATGTCTGTCCCGGATTCAAAGGATCGATCACACATGATCATGATTCCGCTTAAGCCACCTCGGACCTCATAATCCTTCAATCTGACTTGTCTGTTTGGACTCATTGTAAAGGTTAACTTGTGTGCTTACCAGTATAGTAGCGTTTCCGATTCATGCACTTGCTCGATTTCAAATCGTGCTTACAAAGTCAACCCATGTGGCTGCCTTGAAGGTCCATGTGCCATATCACAACATCAGTCGGTAGATACCATCATAGGGCAACATCTGTATCTGGATGGGATTGACTTGGGTAGAAATTTCCGATAACAAAGCTAATAAATAGTACCGTGAAGCATGACTCCAGGACGTTACTGCAGACATCCGTTTCCCTCCCAAAACTCCCAGACTACCATCAATCTTCTCAGGGTCACTCCCACGAAAATGCTTGCCAAACTACCCCCAAACCTCTCTCTCCTAGGGATTCTCCTCCCCATCTTCATAAGCCCAACACGTGGCCACAGTTCCGCCGCTTATGAGCTCTCTCACAGCTCTCACAACCCACTTTGTGCCCCTCTATCCTTCACCCTCACGGCGACCGCCTCGCATATTTCCCTCGCCTCCCCTCCCGACCCTTCCAACGAGACCGAAATCCTCGACATCATCAACCAATCCTGGGATGGCACTGTCGTGGCAAACGGAAACCATACCGTCAACGGCACCTTCACCCTCAAGGCCATCTATTGCAGACCTTCCCACAAAACCAAAAATGAAGGCGTCCTCCAAATCCTCCTCCACGGCGCCACCTACAACAAAACCATGTGGTCCGGCTACGGCTTTGGTTATCCCTACGACTGGCAGTCCTACGCGACCAGCCCTTCGCAAGGCTACCACACCCTCGCCCTTGACCGTTTGTCTCACGGAGAGAACGACCCGCGCGGTCTGGATCCGTTGAATGATGTGCAAATGCCGTTACAGACGGAGCTTCTGCACCAGCTTATCTCTGTGATCAAGACTCAGCCCAACACCAAGACTACCTCCCCCAAGACCAACCCACTGGGAAGGACCTTTTCCAAAATTGCCTTGGTAGGGCACTCCCTAGGCTCCTACCTCTCTGTTGCCCTCGCCCGTTCCTACCCCCTTGACGCCTCCGCCTTGGTCTTGACAGGCTACAGCTTCCGTCAAAACACCTTGCACGTGCGTTCCGCTCCCTGGGCGTCCGCCCCTAGCGTCTTCCCTGATCGATTTCCGTCCAACAAGTATCTTGACAACCTAGAATATCTAACCATCGCCACTTTGGAAGGCCGGGAGAAGGGGTTCTATGACAACGCCACCGATGCTGCTGGTAGGTCATATGACCCTGAGTTAGCGAGGACGGATTATGAATACTCGGATGCGGTCACGCTAGGGGAGGTGGTAAGTCTGGGGGATTGGGGCGTGGGTGCGGAGGAATTTGAAGGTCCGGTGTTGGTTGCAACGGGACAGAGGGATTTCGTTATGTGCAACCCGCCGGAGGAGGATTGTGTGAAAAGGTTGTGGGAGACAGGGCAGACTTTTCCGAGGGCGAGGAGATATGAGGTTTGGTCGCCTCGCGAGACTGGCCATGATTTGACGCTGAGTTACTCAGCTGGGGAGACTTTGGAGAGGGTTCATGAGTTTTTGGGGAGGGAGGTTTAGGTAGATATGATCTCCCTGCCTGCAAGAAGAGGTACAACGAGAGAAGGTATGACAAGTGAAGAATGGGACAGATAGATGATACTGAAAGCGTTAGCGGGCGGAGTATGCATTCTTGTGAAGTATCGGTATTTGTCCGTATCAAGTCATACGTTCTTTGCCTCGCTCTTTTGCTCACCAAACTTTTCTCGCTCCACACACCGCTCGGCATGGTGCCGTTAGTCAACAACACCTTGCGGCAAGACAGCAATATAATCCAACGGTGCCAGCTCGTTTCCGTCAGCCACTCCCGTAATCTTCAACACATCCCCTTTCTGGATTTGGACGTCACGAATCGTAACCCTCGTAGCCGAGTGTCCATCAAGCTTTGTAGAGAAAGTATGGCCTAGTTTGTCTTCCAGATCTCCAACCCATTCCAGCAACAACTTCCCGTTGAGGAACGCCTTGTAGTGCGCCTTACCCCCGATCAAGTCAAAGTAGTTGATCGCGACATCATAGTTGCCCGAGTCAAAGTTGAGTTTCGTAGTCGCCTCTCCCGATGTGTGGTCGGAAACGAGAACCACAGCAGTTAGATTCGAAGCTGTCTCAAGTGGGTTGACCCCGGTAAGCTTGTAGTTCTTCAGTTCCATGGTCTCAACCTCGATCCTGTACTCATGTCTCCCCACGCGGCCGGTGCCATCTGGGATGCCGGAGAGATTATAGTAGAATTGACAGATGGAATCGCGCCAGACTATGGAGTGACCGGCCTGGTAGCGAAGGCGGAAGAGAACGTCATTGAAGCGCTCGGTATCAACCTTGTTCCGAAGTGATTCCCATGCGATGGGGAATGTCTGTGCTGTTTCGGCACCGGCGTAGTGAGCATCGTAAAAATGCTGTATCACTGACTTGCTGGTCTTGAGAACGTGCGTGTAGTTTACGTGATGGAACCAGAGGAGGAGGTCGTCCGGAGTGGTCTCGATGCTCTCGAACTTCTCGGCTACTTTGGCGGGATACTGGCCGGAGAAGCCGGTGCCCGTGGAAACCGTTCTGTCCATGCCGATCCCGTCATGGTCTGCACGCGTCCACTGTCCCCAGCCGTTGTTGTCCTGGGACGCAGGGTTCGGACCGTAATGGGTGTACAAGATATCGGTCAGTGTCTGGATACCAAGGTTGCCAGTGTAATTTTCGTAAGCTGGCCATGACGCCATGGATATCTCCGTCACTACTCCAAGTACAAGAGGGTCTGAGCCAAATGTGAGTCGCGTCCAGTCTTCGAGTAGAGCTTGCGGGTCTTGAGAGGGATTCCAAGCCAGACGGCCGTAGGCATACAAGTTCGACATAGCCAAATGGCTCCCTAGCCATGTGGTGTTAGTTCCAACATTGACGACACCAGCGTAGCCACCACGCTTGTTGCTGAACCGACGGCCGGCAACGACATCACGGACAAGTGACGGTTGATCGCCAGCCCGAAGATCGAAATCCAGGATCGTCTTCCACAATGGTGCAACATATACCAGGTGGCTCTGCTGACCCAGATATTCTTGAGTGATTTGAAGTTCTATCGCGGTGTTTGTCTGAGGTATATTGGCGAACAAAGGCGACGCTGGCTCTCGAACTTGAAAGTCAATGGGTCCGTACTTGATCTGCACAACAACGTTGTCCAAAAACTGGCCGTCAAGACCCTTGAAGAACTCAACTGCATGATTGGCGCGGTCCGCTTTGAGGTCCGCTGGGTTGATGTGATTGTCATAAACAAAGGCTCGAAACATAACAATGCCGCCGTGTGGCTGCACGGCTTTAGCGAACAAATTTGCACCGTCTGCAAGCGTGCGATTGTAGGTCAATGGTCCCGCTTGCCCTTCCGAGTTGGCCTTGACCAGGTAGCCTGCCATGTCTGGAATGCGCTTGTAGAGGCGGTTCGTCTTGTCGGTCCACCAGGAAATCACAGATTGATCGAGGGGATCGAACGTTGACAGTCCTCCCAGAGTCTGGGGCGATGCAAAGTTTAGCGATATGCCAATCTGTACACCGTATGGGCGCATTGCATCTGCTATACGGCCCAGTCCATCAATGTTAGCATCGGTGAGCAAGTTCGCATTGGCGTTGACGTTGTTAACAACGATGCCATTGATGCCGATGGAAGCGAGTAGCCGAGCATATTGGGAAACCCTGTTGAGGTCCTTGGGAATGGTGTTGTTGCGGAAGAAGATGGAAGCGCCCGCATAACCGCGCTCAATGCTGCCGTCCATGTTGTCCCACTGATTCACCCATCGAATGGGGGCGTCTGGGTTTGCAATCAGGTCGGCATCAGAGAATCTTCCTTGGGCGATTCTCGAGAGATAGTCGAAGGCTCCGTACAAGGCACCTCGCTCCGTCTGACCCAGAATCACCACATTTCCTGGTCTCACGCGAAGGAGATAGCCATCATCAGCCAGAGTTGTAGCAGGTTTCACGCCGTGAGATTGTCCGGTTGTAGCGACCAAGATGGTTGACCCTAACCATTTGTCGGGTTCGTGATAAAGGGGAAGAGTCTGGTTGAGGATGCTTTTGATGCCTGCTTGTAGCTCCTGGCCTGCGGTATAAACGGGGCTGGTCTTGTTGGTGCTCAAAGCCATGATTGCACCCGGTAATCGCAGGTTCGGGGGGCGCTGATCGTTGGGAAGGGGCGCATATCGTAGCCAGCCGTTGATACCGTTCTCGATCGCCGATGCCGCGGCCGGGAAGGCCAGAAGGCCCCAGGAAACCCGCATCTTGCTGAGTTAATTTGCTGCTTCGGTCTCTGCTCGGCTCTAACTCCGGTACCAATGCTGATCTGGTCTGGACCAACGTCTTGAGTGTTTCGCAGAGATCATCCGTATTGATATATGCGGCAATATCATCGTGAACGGTCTTTGTCCATCTCGACCCTCGTCATGTGGCGATGTTACATCGAAGGACCCCGCTGCTCTGGAGCTGCTTTTCCGAGAGCTTCAAGAGGGGAGTATATGAAAGTTCGAGTCCAAGTCGTTCGCTGATCAGCCTGAATAGGAGGCTCCTGTGACTTCGGTCATCGATTCTTGGTATAGCATTAGGCGGCGTTGAGCTTTTATTGGTGGCATTTTACCCTGATTAGTCCGGACTACGTCAAAGGTAGCAGCGAGCCCCGATATCCGGGATGTGATCGTGCCTCTGGAAGTCTGCAGATCTCTTTGAGGGCTGACGGGAGTTTATATCTATTTCGGGCATATCTGATGTTTGAGCCGAAAAGTTAGTCACAAGATGTCTATACCTTATCAATAGCGGGAAGGGACAGCCTCAAGAGCACTCAGCTCGATGGACGACGCCTTGAAGAATAGTATTGTCTGATGGGATGAAGGATCTCGAACAACTATTGGGGGCCGTTGCGAGGACGACCTGGGGAGCATTTCTGCGTATTTCCGACTATGTTTCGAATCAAGTTCCAGTCCAGGTCCAGACGGCGAATTGCGGGCAAGATTGGAAGTCGGCCAAAGTCGGAAGCAGCGCTTTGCGAGGAGCGAGGGAGGTGCCGGTTTAAGAAACCGATATATCGCGAAATGCTTGGTTCCAGGCGCGGCCCGAAGAAACGAATATTTCCAGTCATGCGTTCCGACTGTATAACCCTTTTGAGCCTGTTTGGTTTTTCTGTAGGCAGTAGTTTCTATGAGAGAAAAAAACACAACATGCGGTGTTGTTTGTTGATGGGCCGGGAACCTCGAACATGGCGTGACTTATCGAACCACCACTCGGGAAGGCGCATTGTGCTGCCCCGCGAGCGAAGCAGGTACCTTTGGCGCTCGCATCACCATGGCTTTTGGACCTTCAAAAACACCATTTGTCCTTCTGACTTCTCATGGGTGGCAGACCACAATCTCCTCTCCAATCATCTGGAGTTTGTTTACCCATTATTTTATCTGTGGTCACCTTGTTCATCTGCGTTACTCGTGGACAACAAGGTTCCCCGCTAACACTAACACCCGTCCCGCCCCCACCAATTCCACGATAAAGAGGTAACTATCGGCCGGTTTCACCAGCAGCTCAACACTAACTAACTAACTAACTAACTGACTGACTGACTGACTGCAGTCTCCAAATCAATACTTTGCAAGACGTCGGGTGTTGTTTTCTTTTCTTCCACTTCTTTGGGATATCAAGAAACACATCCATATCCTCCCCTTGGCTTGTAGAAAGAACCATCAGTCACAATGGCGTCTTCAGCCAGCTCGAGCTCTGCTAGAACCAGAGCCCCGATGCAGCACATCGACCGCAAGGAGCTCTACACCAGTCTCGAGGCGCGCATCCGCTATCTCCATTCCTTCCTTGATTTCGGCACCGGTAAGTTGTCCTCAGGAAAGATGGCTTCAAGTGCCAGCCACGGACGAGTGTTTCTCACATTTCTTTCCAAATACAGATGACGTCGAAGCTCTCTCCTCCGGCGCCAAGTACATCCAAGCCCTGATCCCCGCCGTAGTCAACATCGTCTACAAGAAGCTCCTCCAATACGACATCACGGCGCGCGCCTTCCAGACCCGCAGCACCGCCTTCGAGGGTTCCATGGACGAGGTCCCCGACGAGGAAAGCCCCCAGATTCTCCACCGCAAGCTGTTCCTGCGCGCATATCTTAAGAAGCTATGCTCGGACCCTACGCAGATGGAGTTCTGGGAGTATCTCGACAAGGTGGGCATGATGCACACTGGGCTCGGCCGCACGCACCCGCTGCACATTGAGTACATCCACATTGGCGTCACCCTGGGCGTCATCCAGGACATTCTCAACGAGGCCATCCTGTCGCACCCACGCCTGCCGATGCCGCGCAAGATTGCCTTTGTCAAGGCACTGGGCAAGGTCATTTGGATCCAGAACGACTTATTCACCAGATGGTATGTACATGATGGTGAAGAGTTCACGGACGGAATGGACTTTGGCGTCGTAGAGAAGGAAGGGTTCTTGCATGGCAAGAAGGTGCTGGATGAGACTGCCGAAGCCTCTTTTTCTTCGGCTGCTGCTGCTGCTGCTACTGGCAGCTCAGCATGTCCTTTTTCGTCCGTTGTCGAAAGCAAAGACTGGGCGGCGGCGGCGGCGGCATCTGCATCTGACAGTACGTGTCCGTTCTCTGGAGCCAGCAAGGCGATGGAGGGTCTCAGCATCAAGGATAAGAAGCCAGTGTCTGCGGCTAAGAACAACGATGACGCTAGGTCTGATACAACGGAGAAGGCGTCCCGTCAAGAGAAAACCATCTGACAGTGTTCTTTGAAGAGGGCAAGCGTTATTATACGACGAAGATCATGACTGGGGCTGCATTTCATTTTCCCTTTTAGTTTTCTTTCTCGGTATTGTAGTTTCTGGCACGACAAGCGGGTGTATTACTAGGTTTATCATTGTTGCGGTAACAGGGACTTGGCTTCTGGCGTGCATGGGAGATGATGAAGGGTTGGTGTTGGGTTCCACTTCACGTTCTACACAGGTCACGGTTCTCTTTTGTTGATCCATAGATGATAGAAGGCATGAGGAGTGCTTTTCTACCCGAAAACTTGCTATATCTCGCGATTGTGGGTGTAACGACCATGCGAGCGGCGTATGCTACCGGTAGGTCAACATGCTGTACGAAATAGCACCACTCAACCACGTTGGCGAAAGCAGTGCCTACATGCGAGGCAATCACGGCGCGGATTGAAAGGTAAGAAGCATTGGCGATCTTCCAACTGATATACATCAATGCCTACCTACCAACGTTACCAGATTCATAGTAGACGTACTTTATTGTCGTTACCTATTTCTAGACAAAGAGGTTATCAAAAAACAATACATACTTATTCAACTTGTAAGTTATCCGCCGGCCCGTTCAACTTACGAGTTATTCGCCGGCCCGCTGGATCCAGAAGCATTGGAAATCTGCTCTCTCGATCCAGATGTGGTTGTACGGTACCTGAAGTATGAGTAGGCCTTTTGTAAAGGCTATTTCCGAGATCTGATGGGAACGAGGCGATTCATCAGAGGTCAGAACATCCTGAACAGAGTTCTGGATAGCTTCGTGCCAACAACTGAATTATTCAGATGTGTATAAATATGGGTTCCGCAGCCTGGAATATGGAAGGTAGAAATCATTCGACTAGATTCCCCTCTTGGACAAGCTCCTTCATGTTGAAGATGACAGTCACTTGACTGCATTCGCTTTATCCACTCGCTACCATCGCCCAGTAGCTGCACAGTCAACATGACGTTTTCTGTTTTCGCAAGTGCAATACTCTTCTTGACCTGGGGTGCACTAGCAGCCCCAACCCAACCCCAGCTCTCTCGCCGGGGCATCGCCATACCACCAGGCTACTCCCACATTTTCTTCCAAGACGACTTCTCCCCCTCCTTCCTTGCGGGCTTCCACCCCTCGCCCTTCCAATGCGCCATCGCCACAGGAATTTCCTGGAAAGGCGAGAAGTTGAGGTATTTGGTGGATGGAAGGCCGATGGTGGTGTTGACTGGAGCGCAGATTGGGGATGAGAAGGCTTGGACAGCGGTTACGAGGATGCCGAATCATTTTGATTTTGAATGTGGCAGTGGGAGGGAATTTTGCGAATAATTTTGCGAAGAATTTAGAGGGGGAGCAGACGACGAATGACAAGATGGTGGACGGGATTGGGGCTGGGCAAGTGGTTGAGTAGGTGGCTGCTGATAGTATCTAGAGGTGATGGAGGTGGTGATGATCAGCATTGCTGAGTGTACAACCTACATGTCGTTATGTAGGTGATATCTGATATTGCTGATCGGATTTCATGTTTTGGGCATCCTCGACCTCCAATATCGTGCCGGTGATCGGGAATGCGTCGCTAGAAGTAAGATAGAGGCGGAAGGGAAACGCGCGTTGCTTTTGAGAAAAGCGCGAACCTTCAGGTTTCGATGTTGAGCGTGTTTCAGGATTCGGACGAGCAAAATGGGATGAACCAATCGGCACAGATATGATCTTAATTGACAGGCGATGCCCGTCAGTGACCTGGCACTGTCGGCGTTTGCTGTAACCCTTCGAAACAGAGTCCATGCCTCGTCTACCTCACCCCCGCAGCAGCATTCCCGGGGTTCGTATCGCTAACAGTTTCATGCCGAAATCCCATGTGTTACTGTTAGTGCTACCCCTGATGCCACATTCCTCTCAGGGGGGGTTATCCCAGGTCGCAATTCAGGTACCCGACCGTCAACCCCACAGTACGTCCTGCGGTTCACGTCGATGATCTTGGCACGACGCAACTTCCGCAGTTCCGATTTCGTCTTTCCCTCTGTGCCCACGGGAAGGAGGAGGGGGAGGCTCTGTTATAAGTAAAGACGGCCGCGGGCCAAAGTTAGCTACGTTCCCGCATACGATTCTGAGAGAAATCTTTCTCGTCCAGGTCTCTCTCCTGTGTTTCCAGATCCCCCTCCTTCTTTTTCGAACCCGGTGTTCGCTTTTTTTCTTGAAACCTAGTTTTGCTTGCAGTTTCCTAGTTTTGGCATAGCATTCTTACAACCACCCCCCTTTTTTGGTAGTTCATTGTTCGCAAGCAGAAAGAGACGGCAAGAGGTCCCCTCAGCCAAAAATAGGTGAAGCTGTGCTTCGGATCTTCTGCTGCTTTCACCTCAACCTCACTTTTTGCCTTCACCTTCACTTTCAACCGCTTTACCTTTTGTCGCTGGTTCGACATCTTTACCCCGACGGCTCTTTCTTTCGGCATTTCTCCAAACAGCTTAGCGTCATCTCCAGAGCCCAGGAAATAAAACAAGCAGAAATGAAGGCTTCCATTGTCCTTGTCTCCTTCCTCGGCCTGGTCTCCGGCATGGTACTCCCCGGTATCCGTCTCAGTCCCAGCGGTGCTAAGCTGCAGCCGCGGTCCCTCTTTAAGCGTGAGGCCAATTTGGACTACCGCTACGCCCCAGAGGTAGGTTGTCTTGTAATGACCCCAAAGAGATAAATAACGAGCTAGAGCTGACCCAAGCCTTTCGTAAACCAGCCATGCCGTGCCATTCTCACCACATGCCGAGTCACGTCAGACTGCTGCTCAGGCATGAAGTGCGTGAGCGCTGATGGCGAGTCGGTTTGCACTCCCAGCGATTAAGTCAGTCGAAACGAATCTCGTTTGGTGATCGGATCGGACTGGATGGAGCCACTGGTGGCTACTGAGGAGTCGAGGTTTTCCTGCCTGCTTAGCCTGGCCTGGAGCACCTCCTGTGTCTCGGCCGGGTCTGGGACTGGGTCTGGGACCCATGTTGTCACATTCTCTTTCTTTGTTCATATTCCGACACTGTTAGTGTCTTTTGGAAACATACAAATGCCTTCAGGCTAAGGGGATTGTGGTAGTAGGTTGGGTTAGTATCTCGAAACAGCATGGCCATGGGATGCTTGGTCGACGAAAAAGGGCAACTATGCGCTGGGCTCAATTACTTCATTATGTGGTATTTGAGACTTTCAAGTCGACAATGGTATCCAAATTCAAATACATAAAGTCGAACGCCGGTCTTATCATACCGCCCCAACCAGCAGAAAGCTGAAGGAGGCGCTCACCGTGTTGGTGCTGGTGTTGTCGGCGCGCGCGAGAACATCTCGGAAGAGGTTGAGCGTTGGTGCCTGTGTAACGGGGACGTGTTGAGGATTGACGCTGAGGCCTCGAACTACTTGAGTAAGAGGGTTCATTGCTGGAAATTGATGAAATAGATGTTGATCACAAATAGAGGAAAGCTGAATATTGTTCGGATCAGTAGGATGGCCCATGAGCAACCCGAGCAACCAACCTCCCAAGTCCACGAAATTTAGCTGCAGCGATAATGCGACAGAGGCCAGGGGAGGGGAGACTGATTGTCGGGACCAGGCAGCTCCAAATGAATTGAAGTGGTGGATGATTGTTGGTCCATGTCCACGTTCGTTCAAGGCTTCGCTTGGGTGGCGGCTTGTTGACTTGTTATTCAGACTCTCGAGGAAGATTGGGTGTGAGGAGAGGATGGTAGTAAGGAGTCGGACGAAGTGTTGACACTCGTCTAGAAATCGAAGAGAAACGCAGATCCACATTCACACTTTCGCTGGCCAATCAAACTCTGTGGTTGATGGGCACTTGAAGAACACACCATCTCATTGGTTGATCGCGGAATGAGCGTTCAGGGGTCGGACTTGCAGCTCCGTCTTTCGCACCTCACTCAACACCAATGCTCAAAGTCTCTTGGCACTCGAATACATCTCTTACCAGGTATTCATCGTCACCATCGTCACACGAAGAAAGACAGCTATCACGAACTCCCCTACGAAATAAAGAGCGAACATCTCGATTCGTTCAACGAAACCTTTCTACACTCGTCCTTTTACTCGCGGGAAAATGAGTCTGCGAAACGATTCATGCTGCGACATCGGAAGTGTCGTTATCCAAAACGGAGAAGTGGAAATATGGCAAAGTCCTCTTCACCAAAATGATCACTCGTTAAACTGAAGCCATTTCAAGTGGCTTCGGGTAGCATAATCTGACTAGACGAACCTTACTGGTCACGTAGTCCGTTTCAATAAACTTTGTTCGCTTTACAACACAGAACCCCCTCCCCTCTTTTTTTTCTTGCTGTTGTTGGAAGGGCAGCAAAGCGCACGAATATCATTCGGTAATATGAAGCCTATACATTCCACTCGCATACTCAACCCCCAGACTAATACTCAAAAAGCTCACCACTACCCCCGTGAGTGAAACCGACTTTTCAGACTTAAGAAAATGTTTCTGGCGAATGGTCTAGGACTGAATTTCGAGCACAATGCTCCCTTGTACTAACGCCCAAAGACGGCAGTATGACGAGAACAAAGCAGAGTCCCCAACAGTCACATTGTCTGCCGTAAATTTTGAATAAAGGTGGTTTGGTGGCTTTATTCTGTCTCATGTACTCTTTGAGTTCAGCGAACAATTCCATTGAAGACGAGCACTAAACTTACCCATCGACAGGGTGTCAAGATAACATGGTTATTCGACCGTTGCTTTGTGGACGGTGAGACTGTACGGTTTATAAACATCCCGATGTTTCGTCTTATGAGGGACAGGGGATAATCATCTCAGCAGACTAACCAACAGCGAAAATATACACCGAAAGTCAGTTGCATCCTTTCAACGACCATGTCCGACTCCAACACACGAGCGTATCTCTTCAAGTTCAGGGGATCTGACTATGTCTTCTGCAGAACGGCCGGTCATGGTGCCGAAGCTCAAGCACAAGTCGTCCAGAAAGTCAGCACAGGTGAGCTTCTCATCCGAAAGGTGAGCAAGAACCGTCTCGATCCAAGCAAATGCATCGAACCCAATGAATTTCACCTCATGGAAGAATATCTGAGTAAGCCACCTCGCTCGCCCGATATCCGACCCCTGATTCCGAAATTCTACGGATACGAAAAGATCCAGTCCAAGAATGGGCTTTTCCATCTGGTATCTTACTGGCAGCTCATCAACGGCGGTTCAGTCAAGGACTTGATTCTGACCAAGTATAACTCCGTCAAGCACACCAAGTTCAACCCAGACAAGCGGTTTCCAGCAAGACTCATCGCCCGCATGCTCCACCAGGTCTTCAGCTCTCTGCAACACCTCTACACCGTCTACAAGAAACCAATCTTCCACAGAGATCTACACCCCGGTAATATATGGTTGCACTTTGCTCCTTCCGGCGACGGAGAGCTCAGCGACATCCCAGACTTCTACCTTGGTGATTTTGGTTTTGCCGGTTGGGACTTCGGCTTCAACCCCAACCATATGGCTACCAGAGACATTGATCAAGTCATGGAATGGGCGCGTTTAATGATCTGCATCAACCTGCCCGAGCACCAGCGGCCACCGAAAGACGGCGCGGTCCCTTACCCCGATGACCCCCAACGGGGTGGTACCATTCCGGGAGACGCGCCCATGACCGCCATCCTCTCGCTCTACTACGACTTCTGTCACGAGCTGAAGCAATTAAAGGACCAAAAAGGCTGGCATATCCGCGAACCATCTTGTCCCCCGCCCGACCTCAGCAATTTCATTCGCCGCGCTGAGGCGCTCGAGAAGAAGCTTACCCCTTCGTTGACTGGGTGTATGTTGATGACGGGGCTGAATGAATCTACAAATGACCCACGCGTCCAAAATTTCATGCATGAAATCAAGGAAAAAGCCTTGCAAAAGGCTAGTGCGCCGCCTTTTATCATGCATGGTACCTATGAGAAATGCTTGACGCCTATGGTTAGAAACTTTCCTATCAAAGTCCATGGTCCGTTTTATCTGGCCGAGATGAGTGCAACTACAGGTAGGTGGGAAGCAATTGATGATGTCACGCATCATCGTCCGGGCAAAACGAGGGGCAGTGGAAGGGGACTGAGAGCTATTTCTGAGAGCCCGGATGAGGAGGATGGAGAGACTGATTCGGAGCCTGAATTCTGATGAAGTTTGAGCGGTTAGATGGTGCTGAATTTGGCTGTCTCAAGTGAGGCAGCTGTGTTATTTTGGAAATGGGTCTCTTCTGCTCTCTGTTCTCAGATTTCGCGTAGGATAGTTTGGCTCGGTAGGCTTGGGCGTAGAGCAGGTCTCTCGTCATCTCTTTTGGTGATCGTTGTTGGCTTGGGCTATGCACTTGACGAAAGACAAGATCAACTTGAACTAGATTAGCGTTGGAATAACTTGATTCATGAATGTATAATCGATGGTCGAAACAAGCCTTATATCGTGTGTCCAATATATTGAGGTACCTTGTAATTTGAAAAACAGGCTTGTGATCCTACAGCTCTGTAGAGGTACCTATTTTACCTACTAATGACTGCGACACCAGCCTATCTCTCGCACTCCCATTCCCAGAGATCGATTTTGATAGAGTCCGTGCCCTTGGACCTTGTTCATCCGAGAAGGGGCTGCTTCTGGATTCCAAATCTAGGGTCCTTTCATCTACGATGCTCTTCCCGCTCCATGTGACTCTACTCTACATGTACATGCACTATGATTAAGTCGGGCCGCTTGAACTCCATTCTCGCATGGACAGGACAGGAAAGGGTGCGGGGAGCTCATCGGGATGGACCTTGATTGGCTGGAATTCAAGAATTGGCCAATCATTTCTCTTCCTCACGTTTCATGACATCAAGGTCTGCGGGACAAGGAACAATGATCGTCAAAACCCCAACACTCCAACTCCGCCATGATCGCCATATCCACTCACTGAAGCGACGACAACCGATCATGTTTCTTCAGGCGTCAAGGTCAACAGCAACCTGACAACTGCCAGTATCAGACAATGAAGGCACAAACAATAGCATGGTGATAAAGAAAGCCCTTTGACAACCCTCCACCTTGATGACAATGGCCGGCCGTCGATTTCATCTCTTCACCGCCACACAACAACAAAAAAAAAAAAAAAGCCGAGAAATCTGGGGGCGACTTCATCAGACATTCATTTACATTGATGTTTATAACTCTAATCATCAACGCCATCAGACATCAGGTCGTCTATGGTAATTACAAAGATAATAACAATTAAGCTCTTCTATCAGGAGCTGATAACAGCTGAGTTCCAATTCACCATTCCGCCCACACATTCCGCCGTGATAGCTGGTCCTCCCTTAGCCTGCGCGATTAGCTGCGTTGTCCCGTCTTCCAGGGTTCTCGACACCGACACCACCACATCCCCCATGCTGTTGGTGAACAACACCTTGCCCGAGTAAATTCCTGCTCTGCCGTTCTGCGGCGTCTTTTTCGAGAAGGTGGCCTTCTGGTCCTTCCCACCGATCGAAACGCTGATATCGGCTGGCTCTGCCAACAAAGCGGTGAAGAAGATGTTATCCTGCAGGAGCTCGTCTGGTGCGTACACCTCCTGATATTTCGGGTCATTGCCAGTCGTGTTGCCGTTGTTACAAGCTTTTGCTGGGTTAATACGATAATAGGCTACAACCGCCTCTTCTGGCACAGCGAAGTCTTGCTGTGCCACCTGCTCCGCTGCTTTGAAGACAGTTGACGTCGGCGATGGAGCTGGCGCGGTGACAATAGTGGTCAGAGTTTTGACAACGGTGGTGCTGGTCCGCTTGGTCGGCAGGCCCTTGCTGCCTTGCTTGTACTGCTGAATATAATAGGGCAACAATCTCCTCCAGCCGTCATGCGGCATGTTTTCGGCATAGTTGAGCGGTGCATTTGCACTCTGAAACAGCCCAAGCGATTTCTCGCGGACTGGGCCGATATAGTGCGATTCGCCATAGTCGTTCCAGGTAAGAATCTCCACGAATTCGGGCTGGAATTCGATTATCTGCTGCCAGCGCGTATCCCAAAGCTCATCTCCCTTCCAGAGCCAATTCTTGTTCCAGCTGGGCAGGTTGGTGTAGAACCACCCGGCGACCGGCATAATGTAAGGACGACCCTTTAACGCGGTCCGATACTGCTCATCCATTTCCGTGGTCATGGCAGAAGGCCCCTTTGGCCAAGCAGCGTAGCTGAATAGTCCATCCACAATACCACCCGCCTTTGTGGCTGCGTTTGCAGCGCCGAGGGAAGACCAGTCTGGGACAAAAAGACAGTTGGTCTTGTCCTTGATATCGTGCCAGTCTTCCGCATAATCAGGTCCCTCGAAGGTGGAAACTAAAGGTCGGTAGGTGTTGTCAGGCTTGAAGTACGAGCGCTCATCCGCCCAGCGATTGATCAGGGAGGTTACGGCGTCTTTGGACCAAGGAGCTTGTGCGTTATAGTCAAAAGAGAAGAAGAGCTTGAAGTTGGCAGCATTGGCAGCTCGGAAGGCATTGGCCAGGGAGTTGGCGTTGCTTTCGTCTTGCGAAGCAATGTTAAGAACGAAGCCATCGATGGAAGCCTTCTGTGCAAGACGGATGTCATCCTGCCAGTCGGGCAGGTCATAATAACGAGCATTTCCCACCTTAAAGCATGTGTGAGTTGAGTGTTTCTTGTTTGCCAACGGGTGGGGATGAACTTACGATAAAGTGTGCAAAGACCTCCTTCGCTGCTTGCGCAAAGGGCAGCAGCGCCAGCGCTGTTACTAAACGAACGGAAAACGAGTATTTCATCTTTGATACCATGGCCCTAAAAATCTAACCGAAGAAAGAGGAGATGATTCGATAGGTAAGGACTGTGCTTATAAACGGAGAGGCCCCTCGGCACTTCACCATCGCGAGGGTGACCTTCCTCTTCAAAGAAAACTCAAAGAGGTGGGATAATGGCGCGTCAAGCTTTGTTGGGTAACGGTTCCTGGTCTAGAATCTGCGGATTGCATCTTGACATGGTGTTCCTGCTCCTAGGGCTGAGAATGTTTGACTAAAATCGGTTAGCTGATATTGGCAACAGCTTCATATGGCAGGCGTAGCGAACCTACTAACAATCAGCTTGCAAGACCGGTGCATACAATCTAACCCTGGTATGTTTGTTAGTTTGGTACAAAAAAACGCCCATCTCCACTTGAGAGCCCCGGAAAGTGAGGAAGTATTCGATTTTCAAATAGATAGGTACTGAAAGGGGACTTTTTCTTTTATATTTTTTAAGCTTGAAGGCCTTTAAGGAGACGGATGGAGGTATAAATAGAGGCTTTTGTGGCGTATCACATCCTGGTCATTGTTGGTCGCTCCAAACGAAAACTCTAAGGAAGCCAATAAGAGCTCTATATCTCCCCTGTTCAACCTATGGCCGAAGAACCAAACTAACAAACATACCAGTCTTATATTGTATGTACTGATATCGGAGATACCGGAGCACATTCCGAAAGAATATAAGATGTCAACAGGGACCATGCGTCCCGCCAGTTGAGCAACAACTTGGATCCACCGGGTGTCGCCTCAAACGGGAAGGAGAAATTAGACAAGGCATATCTTCGATGCTTGACTGATCTGCTTGATCACTGATCAAGCTCTTCAGGGCCGTCCGTGGTTTTCTCAACATCTCCCATTACAAACGCAAAATGGATGGAGGTGTTGACGTTATTTAGCAACCGATTGCCAATTGACCGACGACCGTTCCACTCTCCAGCTGCTGCGAAATCTGCGTCTCTTGCAGGGAGAGAGAAAGGCCTGAGTGATGCCCCTTGGCCGAAGACTGGGCAAGTGGAAAGTGGCGTTGACAAACCGAAGCAGAAGCGGGCTGGGCCGTTGAGGTCCAAATTATCGGTGTGTCCAAAGAAAGAAAAAAATAAGACAAACGACAAACGGCCGAGTTTGGTCAATCCGGCGCTTGTTGTGGTAGCGGTGACGCTATGGTAGCGGACGCCAATGAGATGAAAGAAGAGGAGCCGCATTTGGAACATTTGACGCTTCCGCGAGCACGCCCAAGTGGATTCGTCAAATTCAAGGGTCTTACTGCGATATGAACAATAGTCCGGACAGGACGCTTTTGACAAGCTCGACCCAGTGGGTATGCGGACTAATTTTTTCAGCTACATTGACTGAAAAATACACGCCACCGAAAGTCCTCCGGCAAGGCGACCAACGTCGCTTGTCTTCAGGTCTCTCAGCAAATGATGCGACGTCACGGAACCCTGTATCGCCAGGCGGTGGAAGATGTCTTGAACGGCCTTATGGCGGAAATTCAGCCGCCGCAATGTTTCGGAGGACGGACGGAAAAAGACGGTCTGCTTGTTCCTTATCTTTCCGACTGAGATTGGTTGTCTCAAACTGAAGTTATTCCCGTCCGGTCAACTACAGGCGGCGAGCGTCGCCGGCGATTTGCAGAGGGATGTCGTGGTGATCACAATGATAAAATCTAGAGTATCTGCCAATATGTCTTGTGGATTTTATGAGTAGAGGACTCGGAGACTTTTGCAAAGTTACAAGAAGGTCAGAGGCATGGAGTTCAATCGGAGCAGAGTGAAGTTTATCCGGATCGAGGTTCAGTTCGCTAGAGGTACCTAAGGTTGCATCGACCCGCTCCCCTCTCCGATTGACCTCTCAGCTGTCTGATAAGCATTTTGGGAAAGGGCAAGAAACGAGTGGAAATGAATCGGTTTTGAGCCACCCCCAAAATTGGAAGGCAGGCGCGATCAGAAAATTTCCAAAGTCGAAGCTCTTTCTGGAGTATGGCGCATCTCCTGCGACCGCTGTTCTTAGCTCCAACCTTCAGTCATACTAGCTAGGCATCGAGATGCAGCTCCAGCGCGACAGTAATTTTTTTTTTTTTTTTTTTTTTTTTTTTTTTTTTTTTTTTTTTTTTTTTTTTCATTGGAACTAGAATCACGGGCTCCAACATGGATGTCTTCTAGCAAGATGTTCTTCTTTCCACAACCGGATATCCTCGCTACAGAACGGAACCCATCGCTATCTACTGTAACCGCGGCATCGAGCTGGGCTGCTCTGTTGTCGGTTGAGTTCATCAGCCTTGTCGCTTGACAACTGTGAGATGTTCGGGAGAACAAGAAGTGGAAGTACTCACTTCCATGCATGTGCCTGGCCTTGCCCTAACCTATGACTTCGTTCTGACATCATCTCCGGATTATTACACACCGAACAGAAAACCGTAAGCAATGGCGAATATCACACCCTCATCTGTCTTCTCTTGCGACGGGGAGGCAAAGCACTACTTTACGCCCAGTTCAACTCTCACCCGCCATACGGCTCGTGGCTATGCTCGACTCAACCTGCCTGTCGAAACACCTTCTCCATCCAAACATCCCTACCCCACTGACAACTTCGCGCCCATTCAATCAAAGATGCCTTCCTTGAACTACGTGTTCATACGAAGGAACGATCGGGACGGTAGCCATGGTAGTTCTCTCGTGTTTGCCTGCATCGAAAACCAACGTCAAGAGAATTAGTGTCGCCAACACGTCGGTCTTGTATCACGATGCGAGAGCCCTGGCAACTTGCGAGAACGGACCGCCTCTTCGGTTTCTGCTGCCAAGCTTGGAGACGATCGGATGGTTCAACGGAGTGACGACCGACAATAAGCCCTCTGGTGACTACGAGAAGATCGATGGAGCGAGTGCCGTAGGGTTTGGGGGAAGGGGCGTGCTCTCATTGATGAGAGAATGGACGATGGCACACCCCCGAGTTGACCCGGAAACGGAAGAAGTGATCGCTTTCCACTCCTTCTCGGTCAAGCCATACGTCAGTTATTCAATCATTCAGCCCTCTTGGGTTTCAACCTCACCTCGTCTCATGAATGTCCCCGTCCCGGGCGTGGCTTGCCCAAAAATGATGCCGGCATGACTTTGGTGTATCAAGGCACCACACTGTCATGATGGATATGCCGCTTTCCTTGAATCCGCTCAATGTGTTGAAGGGTAAACCCGTCCTCTTTTCTGATGGGGCTGAGAAAGCCCGCTTTGGCAACCTCCCAAGGTACCATCCGGGAAGAGTACAATGTGATGGTGACATGGGGCGATGTTGTCAGCAGTGTTGGTGACCATCAGATCATTGGAACCCCATCTCGGAGATGTTGGTCTGGTCAAGGTAGCTCCGCCTAAAACTATTGGACAAAGGTCAAAGGTCTCTGCTGGATTTAGCAGAGCTACCTAGTGTTGCCTGGTTTTTGTTTCTGCTTTGGGCCTGCGGCGACTGTCCGAAACAAAGAATCTTTGGACAATCCCACCATCGGCAGTACCTCTGTTCGGGTTTCTTTCATAATTACTAGACTAGACTCGTGATTACCATCATACCATTCAGACATCTCATACAGGAGACAAGATTGAAGGAACATCTCGGATCGCGGCAGGATAGGTTAGACCATTTTTGGGGCAGGATCAACAGCAGGGGAGTTGACAACCCGGAAGGAAGTGGGTTAGGGGGAATATTCCTAGTAGACGTTCCTTGGAGCACGTCGTTTCGGCATTTCAGGAGATGGAAGGCACGCTTGCGAAGTGGGGCCCCGAAGAAAAGTTGAGTGGGAAACCCTAGGTACTACCGGGGGTATTAGCGTGTGTATGTGGACGGATTCGAAGTTAGGAACGAATCAACGGATGTTTCACTGAGCCTGGTTAAAAACACAGTTACGGTAAGGCTCAGCTTCCAGGTTGGATTTAGAAAGCGTTGGCAGTATCGAGCATCAGATAGTATGATAGTGACGGTGTGCACGTATCTAGTAACACTACCATCAGGTTCCGTTCCCAATTAGGTTAGGGGGGCCATTCAGGATACGCTATTCACCTCCAATGAATGGTATCAGCAACTTCCACCCCCAATCTACCGAGGCACTTCTGCAAGTACGACGACAGAGACCTGGCCGTCTGCTAAACGGAATAACAGGTCACCTCTAGGCAGTTTGGCGCGTCATGCACCACCCAACAAAACGATACCAAATCTCCCCGCGCACGACAAATCAGACCGATGAGTCCACCGTCACGAGCCGGCAGATTTTGAGACTGCGCTACAGTCCTACGCAGTACCCGTCCTGGGGATATGAGATCAAGGTTGCCGCCATACCTTTGTACCATGGTACAGTAACCCAAAAGCGCGTTTCTGCATCCTAGACCACAACTCCTCCATGATATGCGTCACAAGCCCCACGGTCTGTTGTATTGGAATCTATTTGTTTGATTGATGCGCCTTATCAGTCATGTTGGAGACTCAAACTCTGCCGCGATCAACGTATCAACTCGCATCATTCGCCTCTGGGGAAGCCAGATCGCAGGCCGCTCAACAACGGGTTCACCTCCTCCCGGCTTGAACGCATTTTGAAAACAATTTAATTGCGAACCAAGGCCGGAACTCATGTCTTTATTGGATTGCATAAAATAAGAGCCGCAAAGCTATGGGTGCTTTGACGCTTGGGGCCCCCGGCATCGACATCGACAAGGGGACATTACTACCATGCCTTGTGTACGATTATACCCAATCATAGTATAGGGACAAGGAGGGCCGTTGAGCACGCAAGTGCCAAGCGGCGAGAGATCGAAGACCAACAAAACCCATCAATCTATCTGGAGTTGGCGGAATCGCGATCTCGACATGGCTTGTCTATCTTGTTCCTACCAGTTGGCCAAGTCCTCGGCTCTTGAGTCCTGGATGGTTCTGCATTTGAACTAATGCTGCGAGGTTCGTATTGAGATTGCAGTCCCGCAGTCGATGGGCCATCTGCTCACCTCCCACCATGGCTTCAAGCTCATGGGCTCCTCGTTTTCAGGTTTACTTTTACGATCACACACAACCGTAAACTAAGAAGCCTACAAATTTCGAGTAAGGCTGCTCGAAAGATGCTACTTATATCAGAAATGGCGGGGCGTGAGCAGGTCTTCTTTTTATCCATTCTGGCCACGTAAGACAGCTCGGTGCCAGTCCGCCGAGAGATCATTTGTTTTTAGTTCGTAACAGCGCCGCCAAGTGCGGACTAGCCTCCTGTCTAGGGCTGGACTCATGTTTCTTTTGAGCGCTACATACCCTGATCAATGCTACCTTGCTTACCCCCTAGTCATCAACTGTGGCCTCAATAATCTTCTTTCCTACTGAAACGGGCGTAGGAGTTGTTTGGAAATGCTCACCTTCTGTTCATCTGCTTCCCTCACCAGGCCTGATTCCTCAAACCTCACACCCTTCCACACTACGGATGGCCAAAGTCCGTCACTTCTCATCCCATATGAACATGTTCCCGTCCTTATCCGCACGTTGAAATGTAGACGGGACCAGGCGGAATGTGGGGGGCTTGTACGCCTAACGCATGTTCACCCGTGAGCGCTGAATGAATGCCGCACTAAGCTTTGCAAGTCACCAAAGCAAAGAATGACTCTGCATTATGCTCACGTTTTTCGTTTCGGAAGTTGAAACAAAAATCATCCATTTGGTTTACACCTCTACTTCTGTATGCGGCTACGTAGTTCGTTCCTGAGAGTGGGGGGAGGGTCAAATTAGGTCAGACCTACCTTCTCCTTCGGTGGTTTATATACCGAGATTCTGAAACACCGAACACCGTATCCATGGGGTATGTATGGGTTTGTCTCTTGACTATTTGAATAAGCAGTTTCAACCACTGCACTACCATGTTGACTACTCGTAATGCTAACACACACACTCTCTCTCTCTCTTCTGACCTTTCGTCTTCCATGCTATGGGTGTTAACGAGCGATATTTTGGTGCACGATATGTATTGGTTTCGAGTGATATAAACCAGGATAATGTACCAGTCAAGGTTTCACACTGCGTTATTTGGTTCCTTGTTGCGGAGCGAAACCAAGCACCTTAATCAAAGGATGTTACGGAGACCCTGCTTCTAGTGTACCGTTACCTGCACATGATTCTTCTGTACGCTGGCGTTTTTTTCTTCTCTCCTTCTTGTCTTCCCGCTCTTTTCTGTTTCCTTTTTCCTATCGTTTCTAGTGTGGTTACTCGATCATATGAAAACACCGTTCGTGTTCGGGTCTTAGCTGGGTTTGATACCGATGCTAGCTTATGCAACATGGACTGGATATCATTTTCAAGGAAGGTCAAAGCGCACTTCTCGGGGTCACTTTTCAGCATGTACACCTTGCACTCCAGAAATATAAATCGACAAGTCTCACGATTTCAAATGATATCAAACATGATCAAGTCTACCTCGCATCTCTTGAAGTCGGGTTTGCCTCATTACACACAAGTGTATTCACTTCTACCAGAAGTCTTTTTTTTTTTTTTTTTTCCCTTGTGCGCGAGATCCTTCCAGTCAGGCAACCGTTGGATTATCCCTTGATCGTCATCAAGCTTAACAGTACAGTACGCCTTCATCCACTCTCATAGTTGTCCAGATTTACTCACCAAACTATTAGTCCCATATCCTCTGCATCCCGAATGGGTTGCTGGAGATTTCTTGGCTCATTCACACTGCACACCATATCACCCACAAGCCATTTGACTGTCTTACAATAAACATGTGCAACTTCTTCAAAAACTACTACATCTACGCGTCATGCACCGACCCCGGTCTCCACTTCTACAAAATTGAGCTGGACGGTAGCCCACAAGGCGCCTGCCCCAGAGCGCCTCATGAACGATTCATCGTCAAGGGAGACAAGTGTGAGCATTGCCAAGGGTCGTTACCACTGCGAATCTGAAGTGAGGGCGGGGCAAGGGAGCCGTCATTCATTGTTGCATGGGGCTGGCTGCCGCCTTTGACAGCAACAATTCCTCATACAATATAGCACCAGTGGTTCTTCGGTTCTCTTTTCCCCCTGCTTTATGGTTTCTCCCGTCTGAGGCTTTCACTCAGCACTATATCCTATGTTTTCTTTTCTTTTGTTTTCTTACGGCGTATAAATGGTTAACGGCTTTCCGTGCCATATGGAGGAGGCAAGGAACACCTACCGGGTATTGCCGTTTGACCGACGATAGTGGGGAAGGAGCGATAGTCGTGATGAACAGCTAGTTTTGACTCCTTTGTTCTCCGGCTACTAAACTGTGGAAACAAGATATCAAATGGGATGGGCTGGTCTTTCACACACTGCTACGCACCAGGTCCATGAACCGTATGTTCAGGGTCGATTTTGTACACCTGACGGGTAGTTGCCCTAGGAGATCACTACGGGGTATTAGCAATTCCCAGGGGTAGACATCACTGTAAAAACATGAGGATGGACGCCTCAATTCTTTTGATATCGAATCCTCACATCTTACCAATTTTCTCAATACTTGGTCGAGACTCATAATCCAGGCCACAAGCGAGAAGGCATATGCAAGTCATTGCAAAGCAGATGCAGGGTTTTCTGCATAGTAGACCACATGACCAGGCGACATGAGGGGACCACAAACTGCGTAGTAGACCCGTGCTGTCGAACTAAGAAACTTGGAATTAAGCTCGTAGTGCAGCCCAAGGTGTGGAATGGTTGAGGGAGGTAGTCGTCAGGGCTAGAAGCGTCCATTTCTGGCCCCAGGCTTCAGGTCAGATTGTGCGTTTCAACTCGGGCGAATTCCACAAAAAGTTCTGTTCGAGAGAGGGCTATCGGTATCAAGCGTGGAAACAACCCGATTTTCGAACGGTGTGATGGCGATGTGACGAGATTGGCGAAGGGGAAACATATCGAGAGCGGATGGGGTCAGCCCCTTGGTTTCCTGAACGTGGTGTAGCCCGGGGGGGGGGGGGGGAAGCCGATACGGAGCCTGGGATGTTTGCAGCCGTTAGTCTCGTCAATGCAAATAATTCCCGGCCAAAGGTCAAAGCGCTATTGACTAGGCTATAGCATGGCTTGATACCTTTTGATAGAATGGCATCAAAAGGCCCAAAGTTTTTGTGGTAATGGTACGTCTCGAGTTCCTTTTGGTAGTACTTGGGGCACGGACCTCGGCGATGCGGGGTGAGGATCTTCCCAATCGACGTCGGCAACATGGAATTCCGTACAAGGTGAACCGTGGATAGGATCCTTTCGTTGGCTACCTAGCCTGCCTTTTGTGTCAGCACGCGATGCAACTTCAGCGGCATTTGGCCGGATGACGCTATTGGTGTGCTTGGCTCGGGGGACACGTGGGAAACTGAGGAGTCGCCGCGGGGATGGGGGGGAACAGCAAGGAAGAACAAAAAGAGGAACTGAGGACGTAAGATCGAGAACCGAATTCGAAGAAGTGAAAAGGTTTAGAGAACGGGACCGAGTTGGGGCAGGAGAGATGATGAAAGGTATGTACGTCAGATAGTACGGTTAGATGTTAGATACATACAGGGCGTATTTGGTTCAGTCAGCAAAACCAAAATTTGTATAGGAAATCGACCCCTGCAAAGCAGCAAACTATATTTTTACTATTTTATACAGGTAGTTGGGGGTCATTCTAATCTTGGCTACGCAAATGCACATCGTTCGGAAGGCTTAAGAAGGGAATTAGTAGGCCCATACAGGAGCATTTTACTGTTTTCTATCTTAACGGGTCACCCCATGAAGATAGAGAGCATTTTACTGCTTCCACCACCTTACGGCGATAGTACAACCAACACCGCGAATCACAACCCCGGTCACAACAACGCATCCCTTTAGCCCCCATCCTATAGTACATTTTTAGCTGCTTTTTGGCTTTGTACCTTCGTTTACCCTTGTAAGAAGTCAGTAGAATTTCTACTAACTGAACCAAACGCGCCCACAGTAACTGAAGACTGGACATCATACATGCAGGAGGACTGCAGTCTAGGAGCTTCAAACGCTCTTGCCTTCTCTTGTCACACTTCGGTATCTGTCACGCAGGATCCGATATGTTCATTGTCTGCTATATTCTACCATGAATCATATTGATTCAGATAACTGAAAGTCAGCACGTAGTTTCAATCGCGCTACTTGTAGACGATGTGCGGAACCCGCCATGCTGGGCGCCGGGAAGCGTACCCGACATATGATAAGCTTCTGTGTAGTCATTTGTGTAGATGTCCCACGAACAACATCTCCCAGCTTCTTGAGCTAAGAGAAACTAGTACTCTTGCATACACATTATATCATATTAACTTACCCATACCTCGGACTCTCATCGAGATGTGCTATATCCAACCTGGATCCTAAGCCGCAAAATGACGGCTCCGTGCTGAGGGGGGGGGGGGGGGCTGTTTCTGTATATATGCATAAGATTTAGAATATTTATCAATAAGCGCCAGTGGTTTAGTGGTAAAATCCATCGTTGCCATCGATGGGCCCCGCGTTCGATTCGCGGCTGGCGCAAAGTCGTTTATCTTTTTCCACGCTTTTGTCTCTTTTTGTCCATCTTTTGATGACTGAAACTTGCCACCCCGTTACCGGTGCGTGATGGTTCGTTATAGACATTCACCATGAGGTTCATCCTTGTTTCCTTTTACTATTTTCTGCTCGCCCGTTAGGCTTTTTGGTCTTTTGCTATTTGCAACAAGTGGAACAATGCCCGTGACCTTCACAAGCAAGTGTTGAAGTCCGTGCCCTGGGCGCCCCTTACCGGACCTTTCATTCACCTGCACCAGCCTTCCTTCCTGGTATTCGATTATCTTTTAGGCTGTCTTAAGTTCCTTTTCTCCTCTTTCGCCACCCATTCAGACTCTAGTAAAGCCCATTTTGTCTCGTCGCGCTTGTGTCTCCAACACAACGAAACCAACAATGGGATACGTATGAGGTTGACAGTTATATGAAGGCTTCAACCTGCTCATATACATCAGTGCGAAGGTATGTTTTTCATAGAGTATTTTCACTCCTCCGTCGTGTCATTACCTACTTGTATGTACTTGTGTTTCCAGTAACATTCACGAAAGGCGGGGGTGAGCATGCTCCCGCTTACACCCCACACCCGACCCGGATAGCCATGGAACACGTCTTATTGCAGTTATGACAGTACCTTTTGTGGAGCGCAACCATCTGCCTCATACTCGTACCTTTTTAACGTAACCCAGGCTGCCCTTCATCGATTGGCTGTTCCTTCTCGAATCTCCCACCTCAACCTCCAACCTGAGGCTGCCATTGACCTCAACTTCCCAAGTGCCCAACATCTTACCTCAGACCTCTGAATCCCTCGTCTTCGGCCTCCATCAGCCGTCTCTAAGGTTGGCCCTCACCCGGTCCTGCCACAACCACAATCTGGATTGGATATCAGACGGAATCCTTTTCGAGCAACGCCAACATACGATGTGTGAATCTTGGTCAGCTCCTCACTTCTCACGAGTCTATCATGTCGTTCATCCATATCGACCGCTTTCTCGCGGCCGGATGCGTCGTTATCAACGAAGCCGAAAGCGGGATCTCCCCAGCCCTTTGGACCGTCCCTTTGCTACACACCTGGCACAGCATCGATATTCCGGCCTCTAAAGGCAAGCCGAGATACAATCCATCGATTGGACCTATTAATATCGCTGGATCCGGTCCGCCGCTCTACCCTAGTGTTCAGGACGCCCTCCTGGAAACTCCCTTTCTTTCCCCATTTCAAAGTCTCTTAGGCTCCAAATGGGTTCACACGACGTTCAGAGTCACAGCTGAGTTTCCCTCCAGAGGCATTGTTCGTGTTTACATACTTCCAGACGACGTCGAGAATCGCCTGCTACCCCGATCTAATACACATCTACGACAACTTAGGACCAGACTTTTCCAGCTCCTTGACTGCTCCTCCTGTACATGGAATGGGAATGTCAAATGCCAAAAAGTTGATAACGATGGAAACAACACTGACCAAGACCTGATCGGAAAACCGCAGACGCTGCTGCAAATGTTCAATACTCTCCCGGCCCCGAATCCCAAACCGAATCAAGTACAGGACCTTGACAGGCGCGCTAGTATGCACAACTTGCTTGAAAACAAGGTGTTGGGCCTCAAGACGACGCTATATCCGTTCCAGTGTCGGTCCGCAGCCTCCATGGTACAACGAGAGTCGCAGACAGAGCCAGTTCCGGATCCTCGACTGCCAAAGCGTTATATCGATCATCTAGGAAAGACGTACTACGTGGACCCCATCGCGAAAACCATCGTCATTGATCCGGCTTATTATGACAGCGTCTGTGGAGGCATCCTGGCTGAGGAAATGGGAGCTGGAAAAACCCTCATTTGCCTGGCTCTCATCCTAGCGACGAAGCATATCCCCACGTCTGTTCCAGAGTTATATCGTGGAGCAGATCCCATTGTGCGGCACAAAGTCGGGAGCTTGATGGATATGGCGGCGGCCGTGGTCACGAGAAGCGGAGCACCGTGGAACGACATTTTCGCCCCCGACAACCAAGACAATGATGGGTTCCAGTATGACTCGGTCATAAATGCCATCCAGCGAAACCCCGGCTGGTACCGCCTACCTCGGCCAGTTTCACCACGGCTCACCCGCAGGAACGCGACCGAGACCCGTGGTGAGATGATTTACCTTTCCCACACGTCTCTTATAATTGTGCCGCCAAATCTCGTTACCCATTGGGAACAAGAGATTGAGAAGCACACTAGCGGCCTCCGAGTGCTATTACAGACAAAGACTTTGTGTCTACCTGCTGCTGAAGAACTGAAAGAATATGACATAGTTCTTTTCTCAAGAAGCATCTTCGAGAGCATTCGTTCATCCAAACAAGCAACGAAGAAGTCTTCACACTGTCACCAAAGCAACCCATTGGCAAATGTACATTGGAAGCGTTGCATTGTCGACGAGGGCCATA